GATGGTCTCGACTTCTTTTCCAAGGTCTTCACTCCTTTGTCCTTGGCCCTGGACGTAGTCCGAGGTGCCTGAAAACCAGACGCTTCGGCTCGTCGTTCTGGAGCCTTGCCCGTCCTCGAACCTGTGGATGTCGGACGCGAAGGCGTAGATGCTCTTGGTAGACTCTTTGCTTTCACCTTGGGAACTGCCTTTGCAATGGCAAGCGCAGAAGATTGACCTTTGTCATCTTCCGTGGAGCTATCAACGGATTGCACCACTGTGTCATCAGCTGTTGACTCACCAACGGCTGGCGCTGCCACATCGGCACCGAAAGTCATTGTCGTATCTTGGCTTGATCCCGAGTTCATTGTGGTCGTAGTAGATCAAGTAGTCGTTGCTGTAGAAAGGCAGAGCCGCGTACGGCTGATAACCTGCGTGGGGATTTGATCTCGATTGTGTTGCTGCTCTCCCCACCAGAGCTGTAATGAATGTAGGTGTGGCTGGCTTGCACTCTCCACAGACTGGACCCTGTCTCTCTCACACTTCCACACGTGCAATCCTATGCAGGCAGAACCGGCGGCCGTTCCTTTTGCACTCGCTGCCGGCGGCGGTTCGTCTGTGCACGGGATAGCTCTGATTGCTCAGGATAGAAGACACATATAGCACTTAGCTATGGGCATTGACTTGAGCCAAACGTTGCGTGGGCGGTCACATAGAAAGGTAAGGAGAAGCGATGCGGTGTGCGCAGCACGTCCACAAGCTTACTCCTAGAGTCGAGGGACGCGTAGCGTGCCCCCTTAGAGTCGAGGGACGCGTAGCGTGCCCCCTTCCCTTGCACTTTACATGGTCTTGCTCACAGCTCCTATAGTGACACCTTAGAACTTGACAAGGCATCGCAGTCCGTTCGCAACTATGAATACTAATATCAATACTCAGAGTAACATTCATACTAGTACTAATACTAATAGTAATACTAATACTAATACAAAAAGATAGTACTAATACTAATACAAATATTGTTCAAATAACAGCAAATAACAATCCTATAACTTTTGATCGCAGCTATTTAGAACCCACTTATTTCAAAGGCAACTAATACAAATATACCAAAACTAACACTGATACTAAAACCAATACTAGTTGAAATAATAGATATTTAAATATGATTTTTTAATAGCAGCCAATACTGATACTGATACTAATACGATTAATACTACTATGAATACTGATTTTTATACGAGTTCTAATATTGATACTAATACTAATAATAATACAATAAGTTTAATAAGAGTTATTCTAATTGCAACTATTTACAATCCTATTACTTTTCATAGCAGCTGTTTAAGAACTTAATATTTTAATAACAACTAATGCTAATATTAATATTGGTACGAACACTAATATCGAATACTAATACGAATACTAATACGATAATAGCTATCTAAAATAGCCATTTAAAATACAAGTGTTTTTAATAGCAAGCAGCTAGTACTAATACTAATACTATCAGAATTAAAACTACCATGCATACCATTATTTATACGAATACAAATTTTAATACTAATACTAATAATAGTAATATTATTAAAAAAGCTATTCTAATAGCAGCTATTTGCAATCCTATTACGTTTAATAGCAGCTCTTGAAAAACTTATATTTTAATAGCAGCTAATACTAACACTAAAATGAACACTAGTAAATTTAATAGCTATTTAAAATACTTGTATTTTAATAGCAGCTACTAATGCTGGTAATAATATTCATATTAATACTACTATGAATACTAACATTAATACTAATATCAATGGTAATACTAATATTAACACAAATACTAAGAGTATTACTGATATTCATATTAATTTTTCTTAAATAACAGCTACTTACAATCCTATTACTTTGAATGGCAGCTCTTTACAAACAAACCCATTATCTTCATAGCAGCTAATACTGATACGAATATTAATTAAATGCAGCCAAGACCTAAACTAGTACTAATGTTAATACTAATATGCATATTAATATTAATACTAATAATTAAAATAATAGTAATACTAAGACTAATACTAATACTAATACGAATATAATTTCAATAGCAGCTATTTCAAAACCTATTACTTTTAATAGCAGCTATTTAGAACCCTTTTATTAGCAACTAATACTAATACTCATTATAAGAATAGCTATTGAAAATACTGTTATTTTAATAGCAGCTACTAATGCTGGTAATAATATTAATATTAATACTTTTATGAATACTAACATTAATACTAATATTCATGGCAATACTTGATTAATATTAATTCAAATACTAGCGATACTAATCTTCATACTAATTTGTCTTAAATAACAGCTATTTACAACCTTATTACTTTGAATGGCAGCTAATTGAAAACAAACCCTAAATTCCTTTAATAGCAGCTAAGACTAATATTAACATCAACACTAATACTAAAACTAAAATCAAATAAACTAATAGCTATTTCAAACATTATTATTTTAATAGCAGCTCATACAAATACTAACATCAATATTAATACTAATACTCTATGAATACTAATTTCAATATGAATAACAATCGTCGTATTTATATTGGTAGTATTAATAGCACTCAGTACAGCGAATGGAGCGCTCTAGACTGTGCTACTCGGGCTGCCCCGTGGCCCACAAAACTTTTTCTTGTTACGAGGTCTGCTTCTGTTTCTTCTTTCAGTGCTCAGACACCCCTTCAGGACACCTCGATGATCGAAAGTATAGCTTTGCATGAAGCTCCCATACGTTGTCTCGCTACACTGACAGGCAGAGGCAGGCAAATGCGCAGAGCTGTTCCATGGCGGCAAACATCCTGCTTGCCAGACACCGAACTCGTCCAATATGGAATCCCAGGACTGAGGCGCCAAACATCCTGCTTCCGAGAGACCAAACTCGGCCATTTTTGAATCGCATGACCCATGTGTCCCATCCCAGGATATTGTATGCAGCCTCTTGTCGGCCTATATGCAATCCCAGGAAAGAGCTTGATCCAAAGTGCAACTTTTATCGGCACTTGGAGATGGCACTCTGAAGCTTGGCCATCGCCAGAAGTAGGCCAGCATATGCAGGTGGCAGCCATATTGCAGAAGCAAAGTGTCAGCTGTAAGGCTGTGGACAGTTCGCGGATGCCAGGTCACTACGCAAAAATGCCCAGTGATTGCTGGGAAAGCCCAGCACCAAAAGGCCCAGTGATTGCTGGGAGAGCCCAGCACGTAGGACAGCCCATTTGCCAGCAGAGAGACGCGTGCTCGAGGTTTGCTCGGGGCGCAGTGCTGAAGGTCATGGCATCAGCTCGGGCGCGGGTTGGTGGTTTGTTAGGGAAAGTATAGGTGACGGGTTGGAAATGCAAGGAGGGGCTACCGACAGACCGACAGCAGACAGTGCGGAAGGGAGACAAGGGCGCAAGGCAGAAAAGGCAGTGCAGCAGACAGTGCAAGGTGCAGGGCAAGGAGACAGTGCAACAGGGCAGAAAAGGGCAGCGACAGAGCAGGCACTAATGCAAGCCAAGGAGCGATGGATGCATATTACACGCATCCCTTGCGGACCAAGCTTCTTAAGTGCAGTCGGGTCACAGCCAAGGAACACCTGGGACCTGTGGCCTGTTTAATCGTCCAGCACCAGCACCACATCATGCTCATCAAGTTGAGACTGTTTGTGCATAAGGGCCTCGACGAGACTAAGCTGCCTAAGTACAGGTTCCCGACCCCACAAGCTAGCACGAGTAGCAGCAGCAATATCCTCGGCAGTGGGGAGGTGGAACCCCAGATCCCAAAGGCAGCCCTTGACCCAAACCGACAATGTGCTTACATGAATTGTCGAAAACGCAACGAGGATCACTCTGTCGGGTTGATCCGGAGCATGGCCAGCGTGTAGCCGTCTCCGCGAGTCGAAAAGCAGCGGATGCGTGATATCGAATATTGTCCCCGGGAGGGGCAGGTCCTTATAATGTTTGACATGCATGCCTGCAGCATCCTGTAGCCACACCCCCTCACCTGGTCGGACTGTCGTCAGAGCTTGCACGAGCGCTTTGGTTGGGCCATTACGAATATCCCGATGGACCTCACTGTAGCAGCCCTGCCTCAGCACGAAAGTAGTGTATGCATGCTTGGGGTTGAGGTAGGTGAGGTACTTAGTGACCACCATGGTGAACAAGGGCAGCTGCAAGCTAGAGTTCAGAACCATGTCATGATTTCTCGGGGAGGCCCCACCTACTACATATTGACCATGCGGGGAGGTTCTCAACACAGCAGGCGGGAGTAGCCGGAAAAGTTCCAGGAGGTCCTGCTTGCATGGGGCTCTCGACTTCTTAAGTACCTGCAAGGCTCGGAGTTCAACCGCTCTGGCTCGGGGCTCAAAGGTAGGGTGCGGGAGTCTATGTCTAGCCAGGAATACGGGCTCGTCTGCTCGGTTCGGTGTGCTGCATTCCTCCTCGCTGGAGCTCTCGACGACTTCGGGCAGAGATCTACAGATTGGACCTCGGTGGGGTTGGGTGGGTGTAGCAAGATCAAGTGCCACAGACGGTGGAGATCTCAGCTGCTGGAACATGATATGTACCCTGCCCTTGTCAGGCTCGCGTGAGTCCCAATGACTGGAGCCATAGCCGTGATGCACTTCACTGCAGCTCAGGACTGCACCAGCGGTCACACGCATGTCACTTCAGCTGAGAACTTCACTAGCAAACTCGCAAAGGACGACCCAAACTTTTTGGATGCAGTGCATGCAGTGCGAAGGTAAAGGCAGTGACAGTTCAGGGTGGTGCAAGGAAAAGTGCAGGGAGCAAAGGTGCAGGCAGTACGAAGGCTGTACACAGTGCCGAGAGCAACAAATCGAAGAATTCAACACAGAGACGCCGATGATCCAACCTCAGGGCTCGCAGTACATGTGGTACAAGGCTACCTGAGAAAACATCACTGCAGAGAGCTCGCCTCAGTTGGATCGATCAGAGCGCCCTGCACACATGCGCAAAAGATGCTGGTCGCTGCAGAGAGCTTTCAGTTGGATCCATCAGAGTGCCCTGCCAGCATGCGCACAAGATGCTGGGGATTTCCCACCATCACGGTCGGAGGCGTGTTCCACGAAGGGGCGGAGCCACCCGTCAAGTGCACCAGGTTCGGTGTGTGCTGTGGTGGTGGTGGCACCACCTGAGTCACCACAGCCGGCGGATTGTGGGGTGGCGGTGGCAGTGGGCTTGCCAACTGCTGCTTGATGCCTTCAAGCGCTCCATCCAGTGTTCCCAGCTGGTCCTTGATGGCCTCAAGAGCTTTCTGGCTCTCTGCGACACCCTCCAGGAGCTCGCGCTCGGAAGGGGACGGTCCAGCCACCCGAACTGCCGCGAGCGTCTTCTCACCGATCTCGAGGCCTTGCTCAGCTGCGGCTTTCGCCTCCTGGGCAGCCGCCATCGCACTGCGACCGATCCCACTGAGTCCTGCAAAGCCATTGTGGACTTTGCTCGAGAGCGTTGCCAGCTCCTTCAAGACCTCCATAAAACGGCGGCCAGCTTCAGCAGCTGCGTCCTTGTTGGCCTGGCGATGCTCTTTGTGATTGGCCCCCAGTGCCTGGACGTCTCTGGTGATGCCCCGAAGCTGGTCTTGCGTGCCATCTGTCGAAGTTTCCAAGTAAGCGTGTCGCCTGCCACCAAGATCGCCAAGTTCGTCCAGTTTAGCGACTATTTTATCTTGGATTTTGATCATGCCCTGCATAGACGACTTCAGGGAGTCCACTTCCGCCTGGAGGTAGTCGAAGTCAGGTGTGCTTGTTGTGGGCTGCGTTGACGAAGGCGTCGCATGAAGGGATCGCAGGTTCTGCTCAAAGAGGGTCTGGATCTGTTCCTGCAGCTCTCCACTCATCCATTCCTTCATGGACTCCATTGCCGCGGTGAGGTCTCCCGAGGGAGCAGGGACTGCGGTCGCAGTCACCACAGGGATTGCGGTGGCAGTCGCAACACCACCACCAGTCCCAGTCCCATCTGCTGTGCTGGGCACGGTCGGAGTCGGAGGCATAGAAGTCGGAGCCGGTGGCACAGGTTTCACTCCGGTCGCGTCAGCAGCCACGTCACTCATGATGTCTGGCAGCAGGGCCTCGAAAGGGTCTGGGAGTCCAGGCGGTGCTGCAGTGCGGCTCGCTGACTTGTGGTCCTTGGACTCCATAGCTGAGGGCATCGACTGAGTCGGTGCCGAAGGGACTGGGTGGGCACTCTTGCTCTGCAGAACCCACATGAGGATCATTCCAGCTAGGCCCGCCAAGAGCCCAACCACGAAGCCAAAGACTTGGAGCATGTCCGTCATGGCGGCGCAGGGTAGGGGAAAACACAAAAGTTCACGGTGCTTTCGCCAAAATTCGCTGCATCACAAGATGGACTGAGAGAGTGGACTGCATTTACATGACCGTCCCGCCCCCCCCCCCGCACTGCACAACAACTGCTTCAAAGAGAGAAAGACGAAAGAGACATGGTACTTCAGTGCACAGCCAAGGTGTGGCGCTTCAGTGCTATCATGACTAAACAAACATGCAAAGACTGACAGATTGCGGCTGTTCTGAAAGGCTCAAGGTCTCAGACAAGCCATGGCATGAAGACTCCCGTGCGCCGTGGAGTCACAGCCGCCTTAGACATGTTGTGTGTGTGGTATACTGTGCACGAGTGGCCGAGGGAGCGCGCCTTCTTGGCGAAGTGATCTGCAACTTCGTTCAGCAAGAAACCCTTGTGAGCACGGACGTGACAGGCTTGAACGTAACAGGAGAGTTCACTCCACCTGCACAAAAGGTCATTCGTAGCTGACGCGTGATGTGTCCCTATGAAGTCCCCGTTCAGTACCTGAAGCACGTACTGCGAATCCGTACAGAATTGCACAGGAAGGTGTGGAAACCGTCGGCGGACTTCCTGGATCATCTTTAGGGCATGAGCAGCGGCGCGCACTTCCGCCTCGATATTGCTACACGGGCCGGGAATCCGGAAGTAGCTCACTATGGCGTCCTGAATGTCCCCATAGGGGGGTAGGAGGACGACAGCGCCCCCTCCTGGTCCCCCCTGTGTGTGGTGTCTGCCCTGTGGAGCGCTGCCATCGGAAAAAACCCGAAGCAGATGCTCAGACTGAGACGGGTCAGTGACTCGCGCCTCAGGCTCGAGATCGATGCTCAAGAAAGAAGAGGGATGAGCCGTCTCGACTGGTACATGTCGGGTGGGCAGGAGCGAGAAGACATCTCCGTTCCTTAGTAGCATACGTCCTCGGAGATCGAGTTGCTCCAGAGGCATGTCGTAGTACCTGGTGAGATCGCAGCTATTGGCATGAAGCCAAAAGCTGATAAAGTCCTTCCACTTGTTTCGATCCTGTGCACCCTCAGTCCAGGATAAGGCGACACCGACGTAACCCGTTTGTTGCAAAAAGTGATCCCACTCTAGCTGAATGAACCGGCTGGTGTCCGGAGCTCTCCCAGGCCTAGCCCTACGGATACGAGCATGGTTACTGAGGAGCCAAACAGGTCCTCGCACTTGTAGCATGAGGCGCAGGGGTATCCTTTCCCCACGCCCGTAGCGTGCAGCATGTCCCCAGTAGGTCCAGAATGCTTGCGCCTGCGTGGCTTCCCATCTCCTGTGCTGGACGCACTGTGCAGCGGCGCGACTAGCGCGTCGGCGAGACAGCCATGCATCCACCGACCCCTGGAACGGATCACGTGTAAACCCCAAAATGACAGAGAGGAAGGTCGTGTGTGCTCTTTTCAAGTACGCCCGAACTGTCTGTAGGGGCCGTGCCGTGGGAGACATCCATCTCCAACGGGAGGTGATGAAACAATCAAACACTCGCAGTCTTTGGGTCAAGCCCACCCCGGCTTGACGGAGAACTCGAAAGTAACCCCAGAAGGCATTACTGACCTTAGCCATTCGTGCCGCAATGACCGACACACAGGAAAGGTGGAAGCCAAGGAGCACTCCCAAAAAAATCATCGAGCCAACAGCTTCAATGCCTTGGCCACTCTGTAGCCTGAAAGGGACATCCGAAGTGCCTGGGGAGTGCAGGTACTTACACTTTTTGGCATTGAAATGCAGCCCGATAGCCTGAAGAGTTTCCTCACTGTCCCTGAGGAGTCTCTGGGTCTGCTCCCTAGAGGTCCCCAGGAGTACTAGGTCGTCTGCGAAAGGACTGAGGAAAAGCTTAAGCCCTGTCTCGTCGGCTAGCCAGGAGTCCTCGGAGTCCTGCCACCGATCCTGGGTGGGTGTAAGAAAGAAGTCGATGACCCTGGCGAATAATTCGGCAGAGTAGGTACTGCCCTGCAGGATTCCTTTGGAGAGCGGTTGCTCCCACCTTGTTCCTTGAAGGCTGAGTTCGACCTTAGTCTGCACAATGATCTCCAACAGGAGTTCCGCCTCCCGGCACCCCGTGGCCGTTGCCAAAAAGGCAGCGACGGCTTCATGGGACATGCTGTCGAATGCAGCTGTGATGTCAAGTTTCACTACATACAACGTTTTGTCGTATTGTTGCGCCAGTCGGATCGCGTGCTGGACGGCACAAGCCGCGTCTAGGGTTTGTCTGCCCGGCAGTCCACCGACCTGGAAGGCCTGGATCCTAGGTAGTCGGGGCCTAAGGCGCAACATGAGAGCTTTGGTGAACACTTTGGCTACCGTGGGTGACAAGACTATGGGACGCAGGTCCTTGGGACTTTCAGGAGCCGCAGTTTTGGGCAAAAAAATGACATGGTTGGAGAGCCAGGGTGTAGGTATTGCACGAGTACCCCACAGCACGTCGTTGAAGAGCTCAACAAGGTGCTCGGAGAGGCTGGTTTGCAGTAGTAGCTGTATGGCTTCGTAACTGATACCGTCTGCCCCCGTGCTCTTGTTGTGCTTGCACTGAAAAGCCACCTCTCGGATTTCCGTTAAACTGAAAGGAGTGGGGGCTTGGATAGGCCCCGCGCGTCCTCGGAAGATCGCCAAAGCCAGGCCCTGTGGGACGTGATCGTCCTGGGTATACTTCAAACGGTAAAAGGACCTGAGGTCAGAAATGGCTCGCACGGACCCACCCGCTCGCATACAGTACGATCCTTGGGTATATGCAGAGGAGTTGCGTTTTTTGAAATAACTGAGCGCCCTGAAATCCCCCTCTGCTCCCTTGGCCAGGAGGTCGCTCAGCCACTCCCGCTTGGCCACTTTCCTCTCATCTGCAATGCGCTTGGCTAGCTGTCTGGCTGGCAGGCCTCGAAGTAGTTTACGATCCCGGATCAGTTGCTTGATTTCGGGAGAATCCCGATAACGACAGCTAGTGATGCGCTTGGAGCTGTGTTGGCAGATTGTGGTGAGGTGCTGCATGGTAAGGTCCTGCATACTCAAGTCTAGCTGTTCTGCTAGCTGCTCGCATTTGGAGCTGAGTTGCGGAGCATCGACCCACCACTTGCCACAACGTGTGTTGCAGAAGCGACGTCGTCCTGCCCGCCCCACGGTCTCAAGGGTGAGCGTGATTGCACTGTGATCCGAGCCTACAATTTCCTCACTACCTACATGAACCCTGTCATCACGCACGGTCATAGAGGGCAGAGAAAACAGAAAGTAGTCGATTCGAGAAGACGCTCCTCTGGTATTGCGCCAAGTGGCCGAGACTGGTCTACTGTGCGAAAGGCCAAGTTCTCTAAGGAGTCGGCCAAATGGAATGCCTCTCTCATCGACCCGGACAATGTCCAAGATGTCGTAATTAAGGTCGGCGCACAGACAGACTAAGTCATGGTATCTCCGCGCCGAGCAGAAGTCTAGAATCTCCTCGACCTGGGTCTGCCAAACGGGCAGGCAGTCCTTACGGAGATCGTGTGGGAGGTGAGCCGTCATAATGAACTGGCGCACCCCTTGATGTTTGAGGATGATTCCCAAACCTGTGCAAAAAGAAGTTGTAGCCTCAACCCTCCCGACCCATTCAGTGGGAATGCCAACGGCGCTCCCACGGAACGAATGCGAAGGATCAGAGAAAAAGAAAGTGAAACTACGGCCTCCAAGATAGACCTCGTGGTGCAGCACCGAGTCAGAGCTCGGGCATTTCTCAGGGAGTCCCCCAAGCTCCTGCAAAGCAACAACTTCTGTGCCTGGCAAGTCCGTGACGTCCCAGATCCGACTGAGGTCCTCCAGGGATTTACCCCTTAGGTTCCAAGACGCTACGTGTACACGGCTCGCCGGCACAGCAGGGCGTCAAAAGGCCCCGCCGGCCCCATAGGGAGTCGACGCCGGGCCATAGTCGATCCAGGCCTGCTGGAGTGTTTCCTTGTCGCGCCCTGTCACGGTCTCGAAAGCCTGTGAGCTGAGGAACCATACGGTATGGTTACCCTTCGCATCTTCTATAATTTGATCCGTGGGGAGGGGTTCATGCCCATCGTCCATGCAACGTATGAGTTTGGTGTGACCTACGAACACTTGTCCCCTCCAGACCATCTCTGGGGCTGGGATGGGGGGGCGGCCCGCCAGGGGTGGGAGCTTGTTGTAAAAATTTTTGGTTAGGACTACTGCCCGGATGCGGAGCCGTTCCTCAATCGGTCTGTCTTTCTGGATCCACAGTTCAGCATCGTTCTGGCCTTCGATACCACTGGTGCACTTCATCGCTTTGAGTTTGTCAAGCAACTCCTTCTGGATCAGACGTTTGCGGGGGAGGCTAGAGTTCTCGGGAAAAAGAAGTGACACTCGCAGGAAGTTGGTGCGACCAGAGGGGCCTGTTATCTGCTCGATCAAGGATTCAGCCTGCGCGGCCTTAAACATGTTACGCACCTCTTCCTCAGCTTCGTGACTGCGGGCGTCCGTCCAGCCCCCAACCACCAGGCCAAGATCTTGCATGGGATCACGGTTCGTGTCCTGAAAAGGGTCTCTGCTCCCTCGTGGGCTGCGTGGACTCGTTCCGCGACCTCTCGGAGTGCCGGGCACGTACCTGACAGGTGTAGGCGACCTTGATTGTTGCTTCTCGAGATCTGCCACAACTTTCTCAAGTGCTTGCAAGCGGGACAAGGTGCTGTCCTGGCGATCAGTGGTCTCCTTCTGACAAGCTTCCAAATGATCTATGCGTGTAGCGTGCTGTTGGACCGTAGCTCCCATCTCAACACAGTAACCGTGCGTCTGATCACTCTTGGCATGCAACCCTTGCAAAGACTTAAGCAAGTCTTGAACCCATTCTGGCTGCTCCAAATTAGGGCGAGCAAGGCTGGGGAAAGCGCCTACGTGGGGTTCAGATTGGGGGGGGGGAGCTTCCGTCGTTCTAAGCTCGTCATCGAGAGTGAGATCAAAAATCTCATGAGATCCAAAGGCAGCACTGTGGTCCAGGAGAGCGGGTTTCCCCGCTCCACCGTCGTCGTCAGGTTGTGTCATGGCAGCGTCCTCCTCGTTCTTGGGTTCCAATTTGATTTTCTTAGGTTCGGGAGCCTTTTTGTCCAAGTCACCATCAGAGCTCTCTTGCCTCGGCGCCCCTCCCGGTAAGGGCTGTTCAAGGATGGACTGGTGGCTACCTACAGGTGGCAGCTTCGTGCTTTTGCTAGGAGAGACAGCTGGTACCTTAGGGACCTCAAAAGCCAGGGAAGGTTCGGCGGGTTTTCCATTGTTACTGGCTTGCCCACTCTCAGTTGCAACAGAGTACGGGTTCGTAACAGGAGTCGTGGGAGCATTCGGAGCCTCTCGTTGTTTGTTCCCCCTGGCACGCTCGCGTGTCCTTCCTCTCTCAGAGTCTCTCTGCATGGCAAGAGACAGATAGCACTAGGAAGCGAGTAGCAGCTCAAGACGATAAGGCAAGGCAGACAGCGCAAGGGCAGGCAGGCAGTCCTGGCAAGGAAGACAGTGCAGAAGAGAAGAGAGAGAGAAGAGGGGAGAAGGAAGTGGACAGTACCAAGCACAGAAGGCGTGTTTACTTTGCTATGCCAGTGCTATATGTCTCGAGCCGACACGCTTGAGCCGTAGCCATATATATATATATATATATATATATATATATATGGTCACGCGCTCCGCAGCCCCCCCCCCCCCCCCCCCCCCCAAAGGTCAATGGTCCGGATATAGGGTGGGACCCCCCTCCCCTGTGGTGTGGGGTGTGGGGGTCCCTCTTCTCTCCCCCTGTGGGGTGGTTGTGGGGTTTTGGGATTTAGGGTTTAGCTTAAGCTTCTGAGTGTTGGGTTTACGGTTACAAGGTGTAGCGCTTCGAGTCGACAAGGGCTTAGGGAGGATTTGCGGTGTATGTTCTGCTTTAGGCTTAGAGCCTACAGTTAGGTGGGGTTTAGGGTTGGGTGTAGGGTTTGAAGTACAAGTTAAGGGTACTCAAAAAAGGAGCACGCGCTGCGTTATAGGGCTTACGGCTTGCTTGCGAAGGGCTTGCGTGCGAGCCCTGGCCGCCAGCACCATCCCAGCATCCAGTGGCAGTTCCAACAGCCCCGACCCCTTTCTGCGCAAGCCAGCCCCCCCCCCCCCCCCACCCCTAGCAGACCATACCATTGGGGGGGGGGGGGGGGCTGGGAACGCCAGACGCCTGACCATATATATATATATATATATATATGCATGTATGTATGTATGTGTGTGTAGACACGCATCAGCTTCCCCCATCCCGGACCCCCTGATCTCAATGCAGGATGTTGTTGGACCTCACAGAACATCCGGTTAGACCAAGCCACTGCAACACACCAGCACGAAACTTCCTACAGTGTACCGGCTGCCCCAAGACCGAGACAGCACTTAATCTGTAGTCCTTAGTCACGATTTTGTAATCATGAGGTTAAGGCTGAGCGCCACTGCGCCGACCTTGTATTCGGATCTCTGCTCTACGAAAAGTGGCTATGTCAGAGATTCCTTACAAAGCGTTCTTCTAGTTTGCAAATACCCGTAGTCCCATCCAGGGGTTGTCTTCCGTTTGCCGTTTTGAAGGGTTCAAACCGGCACGATAGACGACGGATTCTGGAATAGACCAGAGACTCTGCATGAAGTACTGGCCAAAAGAGAATTACGAGTGATAGCTGATCGGCTAGCGGCTAGCAATTCCTTGCACTAGCATCCTCGTTTGCGGAAATCAATCAAACGGACCAGCTCTTGGAAGCATAGGTTAGGCTCTTGTCCGAACACACATTCTTACCTGCTCGATGACAGATTTCAGAAAGAAGGCCGTAAAGCCAAGTAACACTTCAAGTGGCTCTGCGCAAAACCGCCGCTCTCGGGAAATGTCTCGCAAGGTCTCAGACAATTGGAACCCCTCCGTTTGCTAATAATCACATGTAGGACTTGAATCACATAGGACCCGAAATTGTACTCAGTCGAAATTGCCAGCAGGTCCTGATTGAACTACTTTTCCCTCCTACTTGGCAAGGACGAGGCCCGCATTGCAGGTGAACTACTGATTTTCAGCCTCCCACCCTGGAGCCCATGTCGAGCCTCAGCACCTTCAGCAGTCTTCACTGTGCCGTGCGTGGCACAAAGGCTGCGGAAGCAGTCCCGGAATCTTTCCTGCAGGCCACGTCGGTAGTCCTGAACGAGGAAGGGGAGAGAATGGATTGATACTTATTCCGGCCGTACAATAACCAGCTGTGTCCGTTTTGCACAATGCTTATTTCGAGGAGCAAGGGCCGTAAGGGAGTTGCCTGCGCGATCCCGATTACACCGACGACTGTCAAGAACAGAAGCAGGTCGGAAGTAGGGTTTTTGAACTGCATGACTAGTCAGGTGCTTCCGGACAATCTCTCACCGTGTTGGCGAAAATGGAGCTTCTACAAGTTGGGAAAATCAACGGTCTCCCAAGCGTGTGAGACGAAGACTGGCCCAAGCATGTGCCAGTGCACGCTGCGCAAAGGCTGGAGATTTCGGTGGATCACTTGGATAAACTCATCGGCTTTGTCTTCAAAAAACTGTGAAATATTGGCATTCCGGTGATGTTGTTCGCTCTGTTGCTGAGCCGACAGCCCCGGCGAAGCTTGCTGTTGCTGTAAGTGCTGATACCGATACCTGTTGATGCATCTGTGGTTGCGACTGCTGCAGCAACCCAGCGACTCCGCACAGGTTTGGATTTGTAGAATTTGTAGAAATATTCGCTTGTCGAGCCATGCGTAGGCTGGGGCTCGTTGTGGAGGCTCACTAGCAGCCCTGAAGGCTCGCAAGTACTGCAACAAGACCTTCATCCCGAAGCTGGGACACCGGTATCCAACGAGCCGAACAGCACAAGCTCGGACAGCCCAGATGGGATCCCAATTGGCAAAGAAGCTGGTTCGGTAGAGCTAGACCCAGTTGTTTATCACGAAGGCTTCAGGGTGTTTTGGCGAGGATGAAGTACTTTGGACTTGCTACGACCACTTGTCGGCCAAATCTACGGGAACAGACTCTAGTCTTCGCTAGACAAGGCCGCAAATACTTGCGCCATCCTCAAACATTGCCAAATCATCAACCACGACACATCCAAGAGTCAAACGAGAGAACTCCACGGATCTTTTGCAGCTTCGGCTCGTGGAGCGCATGTGTCCCGGGCAGCAACTCCTGCGGGCCCCGATCTGCTGCCACATTCTGAAGGGGCAGGAAGACGGAGAGTCCTGAAGGGCAAGGGTCCACCCTGCTGCAGGCACCCAAGCTGCTTACACACGCTCACACACGCCGGAACTAAGATTCGAGCATCAGGGCAGCGACTTGTCACGTGCGACCATGCCAACGTTATGTAGCAAGAAATGCTTCGCGTGGTTTCCCAACTCTTGTCTTTGACACCAGGACAAAGATAAGTGATTTGTTGCGTATGTGAGGAAGACGGCGAAGGGAAAGCGCAGCCAAGGTGATGAGTCTCACCTTGCGAGCGACTTGCAGGACAAGCTGCTCTTGACTTGATGCAGTAGTTGGATTTCTGGTCCGAGCGTAGGGCCCTGTAGGGTGCAAGAATCAAGCCCAAAGCTCCACAGCCTCAACTTCCGGAAAAATGAGTATATACCCCTTCCGAGACTCCAGTACGACATTGGGTGCGATTAGTGTGGAACCGGGCATTGGCAGGATAGTGACACGATCGCGGATTCTAGCTCGCCTCGACTTCAGATGTTTTTGAGCTAAGCTTGCCCTGTCGACATGATCGCCGTTGTTGCGCAACTGTATTCAGGGCATGTTCTGCGTAAGTCACGCCCCACGACACCGAAGCAGGGGAGATAGGGGGAGATGTGGTAGCAAACTGTCCTCGTCCTGATGCAGCATCCATGTGCCACTGCTGAACTTCGGCAAATGGATCCGCGATCACCAGCTGCGCCTCAGAAAGGAAGACTCGCCGGCCAGCCATGTCCTGCCACGTCTGAAGCGGACCGTCGGGGATGATGCCCAATTAGAGCAGTTGTCCCTGGAAGCTTCCAGCACTTCATCTAGATTAAAGCATTGCCACGACGAAGTACTGGTACATAAGTAAACCTCCGGCAACGTCCACCCACTGAACGTCGGATGCAAGTCCGGGACACCAAAGAACTTGCAATACTCCAGACCTATGACTGCTGAAGGTTTCAGAAAGCCGTACATGCGAAAGGCTGGCCTGGATCTCGAAGTGCTTGTGCACCAGAGGTGCCAGTGATGCATGCGGGGAGACAGCAGCAGGCTCATACTCCGGAGAGCCTCTCTGTCGAGGTGAGCTTGAAAGATGCAGCAAAGCGGAGCCATGATCTTGTGGCCCGGCACATCCGGGCCTCGCAGCAGCAGATGCAGCCGACCGAAGGTGTAGCGGCCCATGGATACGTTTGGATCATGCTGCTGCCTCGGGGCTTGCACCCGGCAATTTGCGGTACAGGTACAAGCGCCTCGGGACCCAAACCCTGAGGACTTGTGCCTCAGAACTACGCAAGACCTCCAAACAGCAGTTGAGCGGCACCCACAGACCAACCTCTGCTGCCCGGCGTGGCGGTGCAAACTCCCTCGGCCTGGTCTCGTGCGAGCCCGGTGGGGGGGCTTTTAGGATGCATGAGTCTCATCTTTGCTCTAAAGGACTTGTGGTCTTGGATCTATTGGATCTTTGTGGTGCTGCGAGTCGACGATGTGCTTTCGACTGTGCACAAAGGGCGTGGTGTGCACGGTGTGGACGCAGGTGCTCAAGCTCGGGCAGGGTTACAAACGAAGCCTTTTCAGCATGTCGCTGTTCGCACCACTGGAAATCCCGATTTGAGTTCACGGGAAGCAGTAAAATCCAAACCGAACCTTTCCAAATCCTGTCCCGCTGCCTGTTGGATGAAATCGGCGGCGACAATGGCGACATGTCTCTGCCCCAACCCTGTGGGTGTCGACTGAAACCTTCTCCAGAATCCAAGGGGCCCAGGATGGCCTCCCAGCCCGAAGGCTTTGCGAAGGCTGATGACGTCCTGCGGTTTGAAAAATCAATGATTCTGCTTATAATGTGCGCCACAGCTGCCCCGCTGTGTGCGGGAAAGCATCTAAAAAGTCCCACAAGCACAGCAGACGCAAGCCACCTCGGGTGTCAGCAGCCCACGCAGCAGCACGCAGCCCCACTTCTCCAGAGCCTGAAGCGTGCGAGTTTTGTATCACCCGTGGAGCCTCATCGAAGACCAAAGCCTTCTCGCTCTTCTCCAGCAAGTCCTGGCCCCAGGAGGCGGGAGCCGTGGCCAAGGCTTCACGCGTCGCCGCCTGGCCTGTCAGGAGGTCTTCAGCAGGTGTTGTGAGATGCTCCCTAAAGCTCCCGGTCCCTCAAACGACTCAAACCGCGTATCACACATGAGTCGGCGGCAGGGCAAAGTGCCACTCTTCTACGACCTAGAATCCTTGAAGACATCACGCCATGAAGAGTCTGCAGCGGTTGAGTTCCGCGCTTTGGCGTCCAGAAAGCGCGGAAAGAAGCGATGCTTGCCGCAAGATCACCCTTCTGCTTCCTGCTTAGCATTCAGGCTCTGCTGAGCCTGCAAGATTTGCATGACCCCATGACCTAAACTGAGGATATCATCCCAGGTGTTGTACACTGCATAAGAGAGGCGGATGAAGTTTCCACTGGGCCCGAAACTGCCGACAGCCGCCTCGACGTTGAAGTCGTCTCTGAGAATCGTTCGAACACTCCGCCTCTCTTTCGTGTCGGCTGTGGGCAGACCGGGCAGATCCTGCGCTCCTACATCCAACTCCCGCGGGAGTTCCACCATCATCAAAGCGCATACCAGTTCGGGATCTGGCAAATTGTCCGATGTCCCCCAGAGTGCGGACAGGTACTTGCCGGCCTCAAGGATACGGGCCTTCGAGAAGGCTGGCGGACCGAGACCATCCGGGCTCCGCCAAGTCTGCAAGAATCGAGCTGCCGCCGGCACACAGAGCAGGGAACTGTAATCACGAGTTCCGGCCCAAAGACATTCCTCTCGCAAGCCCTTGCCGTAGAACCAGCTGATCATCGGATGGGAGGTTTCAGACATTAGCTCTGGAGTTTTGGCATACACTACCGTGGCAGTCGGAGGTGCGAAAGCCCACTTGTGCAAATTTGCAAACCACCAGTGAGGTCTCAATTCACAGGGCAAGCCCTCGAATTGCTGTACCACGTCCAAACCCTCTACTGCAAATGCATGCGCGGCATCGATGCAGATCTCACCCAAAGACAATTGCGCCTCTGATTGCTCAGCAGGTAGATTTGTGCTCAGGACGACCCCAATTCCGCGCAGCATTTCTGCAACAGGCAATACGAAGGCGGGCTGTGAGGACACATAGTCCAAGAAAAAGAACAACTTGCAATGGCTTCGCGCTGGCCGATGTTTGTCCAACGTATGCCCGTCATCTTTCACTGCCTGTCCAATGCGCCGGATCTGCTTCTGAAGGCTGCATCGAAAGCGCTCCACAATCACAGCAGGGGATTTCGGAAAAGATCCGTGCTCCTCGAAGATGCTGAGCGTACATAGCTGCCCACCTATGCGTGGATCGTTGCAACAATGCTCTTGGAGGCACATCCTGCAGGCACCGTAGACGCAGTCAAGAACAAAAACTACGTCGCCTGGGCTAATCAGCTTGGACCAGCGGTGTGCAATCATGGCCGTTGCAGCACAGGCATTTTCGATCAATGCCACTTGCTGAGGCAGGACCTTGTCACTACTGGTGATCAAGGGGATGCAGCTGGCTGAGGCAAGTCGAAGATCTGCAAAAAGCTCTCCTCGAAAGAACATCTCATCAGGCCGTTCCGCCCAGCGCTGTTGGTAGTGGCGCTGCCGCTGTAGGACAGAAACAGGAGTGGCACCGAAAGAGCCATGGTTGAGGCGACCAGCAGGCTTGTGCTCGAAATCACGTCGGAGGGAATGCAGGCCAGGCACCTCCTCAGCCCCCTCCCCCTCCTGCTCCTCCGCATTATGACCTTGCTGACGATAGCCGGCAGCTGCCGTCATTTTCGAACACTTGCCACTGCTTCGAAAAGGTGTGTGCAGCTGGAGGGGCAACGCAAGAAGCTACACCTACATGGAGCCATCAAACATCGGTGGCAATGAACATCCAACCGAAATTCCCCGAAACTGCATGGACTGCTACCAATGCAGACACTTCGTCAAGAACCCATTCCTCGTATGAGGATGTGGGATTTTGAGAGCTCCGGCCTATAAGAACCAGGAGCGACAGCTGTGCAACATCGGCAAAAGAAGCGTATGTATACATCCGTGTTTGTGTATAGACATGAAGCAGCATACGTAAGCCATGGGGAGCCGCCGGCGAGAGAGAGACATGTGCGAACATGTCATTGGACCCGATACAAAATTCATGCTCATATACATGACGTCTGAGATGGTATCTGACAAGCCGTACAGCCGGTACTCTTGCAGAAGTATGCCTACAGGCTGCTCCCCACACACGAGCTTGCAGCTGCAAAAGGTACCTATGTATGTCTATGTGTCTGTCTATATAGTGTGTAAATATGCATTCGTAGGTTCTGTAGGTATGACCACTCAATTAACACAAAACATGTTCATGTAAGATGCACTTGCATTGCCTGTGAGTGTACGAAGAATTCATGGACATGCTTCAATTTCCTCTCGAGTTTCCGGCCTGCTTTCGATGTGCTTGCTGGCAGATATGTCGGCACGAGAACACCAATGTCCACCCCCTGCGCATCGCTGGTCAAGCGCCGGCCTCGACAAACAACGCTTGCCTATGGTAGGAAGTCGTGCGTGCGGCGTTGTTTTCAAGCTTCCAACGACCCATGACAGCCTGTGAAGGCGGGATGATGGGTCAGCCGCAAGGTAGAACACCGGCTCTCATAGCGACTTCGCTAGCTTAGCACGACAGATGTCTATGACTGCCTGACAGTGACGGGCGCGAGCCGCCTTGCGAAAGCTGTTCAAGTGATGTGTATCCAGTGTTGCAACCACTGTGAAGACAACCAGGAAGTCGGAGTCAAATGAAGAGCACATAAGAGCACAGTACCTATAACATGCGCTTGCAGACTCAATCGTCAGGCCAGCACGATCCATATTCGGAACGCGTGTAGTCCTCTTTCTTATATTCAAGAACTAGCAACGGATCTAGAATTTACCAAGATAAGTAATTACTTATTGTGATTTGCCGAGATCTGCAGCTCTGGGTTGCCCAAAATGGACAGTACAGCTACAGTGAAGGGACCAGAATACCCAAATGCATACAGTTTCATGAAATTGAGTGCAACAGCAGGTACTAGAAATGGAGACAAATTAACAGTAACGTAAGATCATGTAATCTAACGAAAGATCGTAAGATAATGTAACACACTGTCATGCACCACACGATAACCTGCACATGCATGTTATGCTTTGGCTGCATCACACAGGATCTGAGCCCCCCCTCGATACAAGGATCAGAGAACCCTGAAGACAATAGGTAATAGGTAACTCGTGCAGCAGGTGAACATGATGGGATGGCCAGAAGTCAGTCAATTCGGGTTTAAAGTCGGCTGGGCGCTTCTGATTGCGAAGTAAGGTTTTGGCCGCGAGAACCTTATTCGATCTTATTCGCTTGGCACAGGAAAACCATTTCAAGAATTTCAACATCTTCAGACAAGCTCACCGAAACTGCGAGGCCAGCATGCCAGCAGGCATCTCGCAAACAGGCATTCCGGCAGGAATCGCACCATGCAAAACCACAATTGCATTGTAATAGCACTGAATGTAACTGAATATACGCACCATTACCGAACATAGTGTCATGTAGCCGCATAATGGCCTATACTGACATGTAGAATCTGGAGATCCCAGCCGAACATAGTCGCCCTTTCCCGCTCCAAGAGATTCGGTTCGAAATAGCTCCGCTCCTCGTCTGGGGGGGGTTCCCCTTCAAAGATCGACTTTGTGGTCATTTCAACACTCACAACTAGTAGATACTAGTAATCAGTCTTTTGACTTGTGTGAAACAGGTACCGTCCGGCAATCCCGATCATACGACTACCTGAAAAGATGATGCTTGTGCTTTCTTCACATGCCCGCGTACCCAGATCGAATGCAGTATATTCCATTCACATCACCACCGGCACCATCATCTGCATCATCTTTCGTACCGACACGGTTGTTATCATTTTCGGCTACTGCTGTGGCAGTTCTAGCAATCTGGGTGAACATGACCACTCCGCTCAGTCCTTCCAGACCTTCACCAGCTCGTCCTCCTTTCTGCGGAGGTCCGCTCGACTCAGACCCTGGGCCTCGGTAGCCCGTCCACCCTGATGTGGCAACTTGAAGCAATCAATACCTCTATCAGGCAGTACACTGCGACTGAATGCGCGGTCATCAAGGTATGCGTAGGTACATACGTCATTCGCATATGATGCGGTAGTATATGTATATTTCAATGTCAACGTGTGCATACACACGCAAATTGACCTGTCTAGTCTTTCACATGCAAACATACACATAACAGCACACGTACGTGTACACATGCATCGACTTGATTGAACTTGTACATATATATATATATATATATATACATATACAGAGCGACACAGAGAGACAGAGAGAGAGAGAGAGAGAGCGAGAGATAGTCTGTATGTGTTTGTGTGATAGACACACAAAAACATTTCTTGCCTGCATAAATCACACAATTCGTTGAAGTTTTCCGTCGCTTGCCGCTGAACTGAGCCCCACCAAACCTGGTCCCTGGACCCAGCCGACACTTCAAGAGCAAGGCGTGGAGCTCTTCAAGCTGGAGCTCCAACGGGCGAAGCCTGTGCTTGAAAAGAATCAGATGCTCATCTGACAACCTCGGATTTCGGTACAGTACCCTCTCGGTGCTGGCAGGCACCAAAAGACCCTCGAAATTGCGCCTGGAAGCGGCCTTCCAGAAGTCCTCCTCGTTCAGCGCATTCCTAGCCTCGCAGCGGGAGACGATGCCAAAAAGTATACAATTGCAAGACATAATATTCTGGAAAATGGAGGTAGGCGTAAAGTCGTAAAGGTCGTGCAGGATTGCCTCCCACGCACCTGCCTGTGGATGTAACCCCTGTAGCCCGCGCAGCAACAGCAGTAATAGTGGTCGTCGTGGTAAGGCATCAGGAGGACGAACAATCGCAGCAGCACCAGCTGTCATGGCTGTCACAGTAGTACAGCCCAGTCACGACAACTTGCTTGCAAACAGAAACACAAAAAAGGTGGCTAGAATCGCAGACTCTGCGGACCAGGGTGCAGGCTGGAAAACTTACAAGCTTGGAGGTTCAGTACTTCGCACCGCGACTCGAAGACGCCAAGGACCCCACACAGAGATCCGGCACTGATGCAGACGCAGTCGAAGCGGAAGCTCGTGAAGCCTGTTGGATAAACATGGCCCCGAGCTCCCTCAACCAGCAGTGACTGATGCAACTTGGATGGGACAGGAGAATCATGATAACCGAAAGCCCCTGACTGCTGAGCCCGCAGCACCCACAGTGCTTCTGACCTGCACATTGATGTGCCTAACACCCATTACCTGGCTTGTTATGGCTTTTTCTTCGGAATCGTCTGATACGCACTCGCTGATGGAGAAAGGGCCCGATGCAGCAAGCAGCCCATCATGCCGAAATCCCAAGCTTTCCGAGCGCAAGGCGTCAACGGATACCTCCTTCCAAAAGTCGATCGGGGTCTCGTGCTGCAGCCTCGAACACTATGTTACTTGTGACTAACAGGCGGACGGTCTCACAAGGGTGAGCTGCGTCCAGCAATGCCGAATGACCCATTTTGGACGGGAGATTTCATGTCATGGCAAGAATGAAACCCCAAGCAGATTTGAGTCGTGATGACTACCTGACCTCGGATGCCTCGGCCCTTGGTCGTCTTGCTTCGTTTGCAACTATGGGGCATCATGGCCGCAAACAGAAGTTTGTTGCAAGAGCTGGCAAGGCAAGGCGAAATACATACATACATTCATTCATACATAGATTCATACATACATACACATATTACATACGTATATATACACGTACCTACACACACACATAGATACATACATACATACATACATGCATACACGGAAACACTCACGTGTTTGTGCCCCCGAATTGTCAATAAATCTATGTCGTCGACGATCCGAACCACACGCGACGTCCTGACTGCTTCGTCATCATTGACATGGCCCTCATCACCATCATCGTCGTCCTCACGTGTCAGTTACAAGCATCAAATCTGTTTGGACCAGGGCAGTGGGTTGTTTCAGGTACGGAGACATACAAACATATCCGCTCAAATCGATTATGTTGTCCATCGTATTCACTAATGCCGCAAGTTCTGCAAGACCTCTACCAGTGCCGGGCGCCAGGCATCTTCTTTACCTCTCGAAGGCCAAGGGCCAAGCCCACACCGCCAGCTGCGGCAGCTGCCTGCATGTGGCTCAGCGGCTGCCATTAGCACAGCGACCGTGATGAAGGCATGTTATTATAGTAGTACCCAATATTGCCAGAAGAAAGCGACGTCGCAGGAGCGTTTGTTTGTAGTGCAAGGTCTTCTGCTGTGTAACAGCTATTGCACGTAAGTGGTCTTGAATGTGGCCGGTGTCGCGGCATGTCGCGGTAGCAGCCGTAGCACCAAGGTTGGCAATGGAAGCAGTAGCCGTGAATAAGTAGTGTTAGCAGCAAATGTAGGGCTCGTGGCAGTGACCTGAAAATGGAGTGCTAATGGCAAAAAGGAAAGACGGGAAATGATCGTGGTCGCGGTGATCGCAGCAGACGTAGTCGTGGCCAAGTGGTAGTGTAGTGGTGGAATTACTAAAGTAGTCGTACTTCTACTGGCACTTCCACTGGTGCTCGTAGCTAGGTAGTAGGAGTAGTAGTAGTAGTAGTAGTAGTAGTAGTAGTAGTAGTAGTAGTAGTAGTGTAGTAGTAGTAGTAGTAGTAGTAGTAGTAGTAGTAGTAGTAGTAGTAGTAGTAGTAGTAGTAGTAGTAGTAGTAGAGTAGTCGTAGTAGTCGTAGTAGTCGTAGTAGTAGTACTAGTAGTAGGAATAATAGTACTGGTAATGGTGCTAGAATTATAGTACGAGTAGTACTAGTAACTAGTTCGCCCAAACAGCCTGTCAATTGCCCGAAGCTCGAAATACGGGGCAGCGCGGTCTTTCGTGAGATTCAGACGCTCCGGTCGGCAAGCAATGCCGACAAGAAAGCAGCATTCTTGCGCAAGTTGTGTCCCTACAAGGGTATATTGGGTGAGAAGCCCCACATAACAGAAAAGGACTGGTTGGTTGAGAAACCCAAAACCCTCAAGGGAGACAGAGATGTTTGTGAAGACACAAAACCCTGCAAGGAGATGTTGGTTAAGTTAAGCAGGATGAAACCCCAGCAAGACGTCATCGTCATACGTCATTATGATGATGATGACGGAGGGAGAAGTGGTAGCAGTAGTAGTGGTAGTAGTAGCAGAGGTGATAGCGGAGTAGCAGTAGTAGCTGTAGCAATAGAAGTAGTAGCAATAGTATCAGCAGTAGTAGTAGCACGAGAGTAGCAGGAGCAGTAGTAGTGGTAGTAGCAGTAGCAGTAGCAGTAGCAGTAGCAGTAGCAGTAGCAGTAGAAGTAGTAGTAGTAGTAGTAGCAGCAGTAGCAGTAGCAGTAGCAGTAGTAGTAGTAGTAGCAGCAGCAGCAGTAGTAGTAGTAGTAGTAGTAGTAGTACTACTACTACTACTAGCAGTAGCAATAGCACTAGCAGCAGCAATAGTAGTAGCAGTACTCGTGGTAGTAGTAGTAGTGGTAGTGTAGTCGTCGTCGTAGTAGTAGCAGCAGAAGCAGTGGAAGCTTCAGGGCAGGTCGGGCTTCCAAGCAATGTCGTGTCTTTTCCGGTCACGAGAATGAGGTAACTAGGAGCTCAGGCATGCACCTCTGTCCAGCAGCTGCAGACCACTAGTTTCTTCGTACTGTCGCACTCTCCGCAAGCAGCAAGTGTCGAAATCGCAGCGACGGACCATGTTATACTTTGTTTCGCTCTTCCAACCGGATTAATTCTTAAAGGGGATCACATTTGGAGCCTCAGTGTGCATGACACAGAGCGCAACGTTAGGAAGACTGAACAAACAACAGTGCGTGGAGTCGTGCGACATCTGCTCATGTTTGCTACGGCTCAGCCAGGTTTATATCACTGCACTCATGGGTCATAAACACGCCACTGCGACAAAAACATGTAACGGATTGAAACTGATCACAAACGATCACGAGGTGCGCACGGGTGCATGCAAGGTTGTGCACTACAAAGCTTCTCACGCTGAGCTTGTGATCCCGGTGGCAGGACTATCCAACCCACTAGGTGACTATCAGAACAAGGCAGGCTAACCTGCACTATCGGGAAAAGCTAGTATTGGGCAAGAGCGCTCTAGTGACGATGGTATCATATTCATGCCTCGATGCTGTTATACGTTTGCTCACACCTATATCATTGCAAACGCAGCCATGGACCTCACACCCAGCTTACTGTGGACTCCGTGACAGGACAAAGGACACTTGGGCGCGCACGGCGCCCTTGGCGGCTACGACGGCAGCTCTCTGCAGGGCAGGATTCGCCTGCTCTCACAGCACTTCTTGTTCTTGTGGCTCGGAAGAGCCCGGGAAACTCTGGATATTCGGTATATTCATGGCTACAGTACTGCACGCTTGTCGTGTGGTTTCAGGCACTTTCGGCCTAGAATTAGACCAATTGAACTTTGCACAAGGTGTCGGCAATCACGCCATCAGTAAAAAATGCAGTCGCAAATGCCCGTACTAACTAAGTTCAACTCAAGCTGACTCAAGCTTACGAGGAGCTCCTTCAGATGCAGGAACTCAGCTCTGACGGTAACAATTCCACAATGGATCCTAGGCGGATTTTGGCGCATTCAAGCAGCAGTTGCCAGTATTGAATCAGTGTAGTCCGAGATTGAAGAATCCCGGATCTGGGTGCTGTGAACACAAAGCGACGAGGACTCACGAATCAAACTTTCTCCCGAAGAATAGCACGATGCGAGCCAAGCAAGGCTGATGCGTGCCGCACCAAGGACTATCCGGGGCGAAGCCGCAAACTAGCTTCAAGAGCTCATGAAGCTACTGCAGGACTCGAGCTGGACTGGCTCCCCCAGCCCACCGATAGCAGCCGCCGGGCAGTGGCCATGTGACTTGCCATTTCTCTGGCCGAGGTCGCTGATGGAATGCACGCATAGAAGGGTTTCCGGTCTGGCGATCTGCACGTGTAGGTCTGCTTGGCCACGGGCGCCGTTTCACATAGTTGCCACTCTATCCTGCCTGTGCAGCAAGAGCTTGAACTTGGGTGCCATTTTCCACTACTTCGAGCGGGCTCTGTATGGTCTGCCGTTTGTAGTGCTCGCTGGAATTCTGGTCGCGATAAGACCGAAACCTGAAGTCGTGTCTGCAGTCATATGCGATCTCGCGCTGTGGCCAGGTGAGATCAGACAGGGGGCATGCACCACCCCATGTCTAGCAAGCTGCGATGAGAGCCAAAGGCGGGAAACGTCTACTCTGACGACAATCGCATATTGTGGAAGCTGCCCGGCGAGGATTTCCTAAGCTCCACTGACACCTTGTTTTCGAGGCCCCTGTACAAGCCAACACGTGCGATGGATGCTGGTCCGTGAGCTTCCGCAAACTGCAAAAGGCCCTGAACTTGCTGCGGATGCTTCTGCATAGAAGCTGGTAAGTGATCCGTGCAAGAAGCCCACGAAAGAGAGAGCGCCGGCGCGCAATATTCATCCTCTGTGGCACAGGTGTTCGCGCGCCCAAGCCGCAGCGCGACAGCTGCACTGTGAAACCGAGTATCCGACAAGACTCTCTTAGAGTATCATGTTGGCTTGTGGCCGCATTCCATCAGGTTCCACCAGTGGTCCACGCTTGTGCTGATTAATTATGAATCTCATTAACAGTCGAAGAATGTTGCACCCTACAGTGCCAGTGACATGCGCTAATGTCTTTTGCTGGCTACACAACCACCTCAGTTGGGAAGGGCTGAATGCCACACCTCAGTGACAAGAACTCTCTCGCTGGCACGGCCGAAACCCAACAAATTCTGAAGTCAAGGTCGAAGTCTGAGTGCAACTAGACTAGTATGTATCTTAGCAAAACGCAGCACTGGCAGCGACCGATCCTGGCAGCATGCGATACGACGAAACTATGGCCCCGGGCTTCAAGTAGATCTCCTCATCCAGAATCACCTTGGCCTTGGCAGGAACAGCACCAAAGGTCATGGGTCTGCTCTGAGGCTTTTTCGTGGTGCACATGTCGGAGGAACGCAGGGACGTTTTGGGCAACACAAGCACTCTGAAATACAGCCACCAAAGCACTGCCACTTCGATGATGCTGCACACGACGAGATTCTTCACGAAGGTGCCCATGTAGTCCTAACACAGGTGCTGCCCAATCTCGCGGTTGGTAAGGATCAAGATCTCAGGGGCCAGAAGCCGAAGCCATGCTATCTTGTGTGGTCAGCATCTATCTGACGGTCGCATGCAGAGTGCCAGGAGCAGGTAGTACCCGGCAGCAGTTCCGAGTATGTACTTCGCCATGCAGTAGTGATTTCGCACCATGTGGCCGTGGGTTTAGTGACGGAGGCTGAGAAGGGGTTTAGGACGATACAGACGGGGTTTGTGGGTCGCGAGCCGTCTAGTACAGTTTGGTGGGAATTTGGAGGCTTGGTTTTGTAGGCGAAACATCCTTACAAGCCCAAGCCTCAGGCCTGTCCCCTACAAAGCCAAGTCTGGGGCCTGCTAAACTGAGAATTTCATGCCCAGGGCTGAGTCTGCTGAATGAAAAATGGCATATCCGGCCAAATTCCGAGCACATTTTACAACTTCTTGCGTCCCAAACCTAACAATGTCCTGGGCCCTGGCTGGGGCAAACTATGAAGACCCTGACCTCAAACCCCCGAGCCCGTGAGGCTCGTGCTCTGACCCGATTGCCTGGTTTGCGATGGCAGAGAAGGATGCATTAAACTGCGGGAGGACGCCGCTCTCTGACAGGAAGCCGTACGTGTCTCCTCCGAAGTGCGGGGGCAGTTGCTCCGTCTGGGGTCCGCCGAACATATCAGAAGCTTTCTCCCACAAGCCTAGGTGCCACGACGAAGAACATGCATCTAGAGTCTAGATCCGTATCATACTGTTGGAAGTGCATGCTTTGCCAGACAGCCCCTGAGCTTCGCACATGCAGACATTGCAACCCTGAGCCGACATGCATAGGTGCCCCTACGCTCTTACCTTGACCACAGCTTTCAGAAGTTTTGGCGTGCGATAAACCGGACGTGAAACTAAGCTTGAACAGGTCCCACAGTACGTAGGTCTTTTGCACCGCATTTGTTGGGCCACCCGAAAAATCCGGAAGTTGAAACTGAGCGACAGCTGCCATCACCACGACCGCGTCCGCTACTACTGCGACGCGCTACTGCGTGCCTTTGGCTTCGGGAAGCCAAAAACCAGGAGAATTGACTTCTGGCGTCATCTCTCACTTTTCAAACTGCGGTCGGAGGGGGGTGTGCAATTTGCCGCACTTCTAAAGATTGAATTTTCAGCCCAAACTGTGGAATTGTTGAATGAAACTTGGAGGATTCTTCGGCTTTTGCCGCGATACCCACCAGGTTTAAATGTGACATTGACGCCTGCGTCTGTAATGTAAGAGCACCCTGAACCCTGAACCCTTTACACTCTGCACCAAGTAACCTCTATGGCGGTCCATATCCTGGACAACCCATTCGATATCGTCTGATACTTGGATCGGCTGTAATTAGTCAGTCGTCAGTCTCGCCTCCGTGACCAACGTAGGACCCCCAGCTGCCCAGGACTGGTGGGTAGGTGGCATTCCAACTGGTCTGCCTCGACAAAATGTGCAGTGCGTTACCGGTACCAGATCGTCCAGTAAGCCAAAACCTGCTCTGTCAGCCGTGTCACTGTATCATCAGGCCAGTGCCATACTGGATCTGACCCTTGGCCCAACCAACGTTCAAAGGCCGCCAGTCCTGGGCACCCACCCAGGTTTCAAGTGAAGAGCACAGCAGCGGGACGTGGCACACCAACCGAAAAGGCTTCAGAGATGCAGCTAGTTTATGTGCTTGCCCGAAGACCGTGGCGAGAGATAGATAGGCAGATAGACACAACAAGAGAGAGCGAGAGAGAGGGGGAAAGATATGGGAAGAGAAACAGACAGAGCCAGCGAGCGAGAGCTACGCACTCACACAGACACACATGCACACACCATTTACAGTGATTTACACTCCTACTTGCAGAGTGTGAAATGCAACACTCTTTCCCGCTTATTCTTCTGATGGCCCGACCCGGCTTCACTCCCTGCGCAACCGCCCTCCCTTTCGAACTCACACGCGGTTTCAATCTCTCTCTCTGTATGTCATCTTTACAATTGGAGCGCGACAGCACAAGCCGAACTCTGTCTGCACCTGCATTTCATCCACCATTTTTGCAGGAATGATCTGCTTGGCGATGAGCAAGTCGTAGAAGAATTCCTTCTGCATGGCATGCACTCGCACCCTGCACTCCAGGATCATCATTAGATAGCCCGTATCGCATGATGCTGCCGCAGGTGCCGCTGCAGCCGAGGCGGGCGAGACCAGGTTACCGCAAGTCCTTCGAGGCGGTAGCAGATAGCCCGCGCAGGGCATGCACACATGTCGGTTCCGGAGCAGCAGCAGGACTCCCACCATCATTGTGGCATCCCATGGGGAGACTCCTTGTCGGACTTAACCGTACAAGCTGCAGCCAGCGATTGCCACCCGTAATGCCACAAAAACGTCAGCCACAGCCACAGGTGAATGGAACCCCGCATTCCAGATTGCAGCATTGGTTTCGCGTAAATAAGGGTTTGCTTTGCATCCTTGAGGTACTTGTCTGAACATGTGTCTACCCAAACCCTAAAGCCCTGTGCCCCAAACCTCAAACCCCAAGGCCCTGAACAGCAAAGATCCAAGATGCCCCAACTGCCTAAAGTCCCTGCTACCTCTGGTGAGAATGCGCAGAAGACAGCTGTAATGCGCCTTGATTCTGGTGGGAATGCGCAGAAGACACCTCATACACCCTTATACAATATTTCTTTCTCCCAAAAGGGACAAAAGCCTATGGAAAGATTAGAATCAGAAGCCCCTTTTTGGAAGAAACCCTGCGAGGCCCGGCCCCGGGGTTTCCCTGGGTCCAGCCGAGGATGGAGGCATCCTGGGAACTCACGCGGGTGTGGCGGAAGAACCCGCCAGAGGCACCTCCAAAAACAAGCAAAAAGCTAGGCCAAATGTAGTATATAAGTTATAGCTATAGTATATGTCATAGTACATATATGCTATTGTAGTATAGTATATCTTTTTAGTATAGTGTGGCAAAAAGGGGATTTAGTGACTGAAGGAATACCAAAAAGGGATTGTTTAGCTGTGCACGGCTTCTTTGTGGATCGGCAGGGTGTTCTGCGAGTCTCACGCCTGGCAAACCAGTTAACGATTCACGCCAGCTCGCTTCAGGCATCCATTGAGACAGGGAGGTGGAAAAGGACATAGGGCCTGAAGAATCCGGACCCCATCTGCACTCAGGTCTCATGGGGGTGATGGGTGAAAGTGCTTCTCGGTTTGAGGCATGTGGGGGCTTCTTGGCTCCAAAATCTGATGAAGGATGTTGGTGGAACGGGTTTTTGATAGGTAGCCAGCATCCGAGCATTGCGTGAGCGGGTTCTGCGATGTTCGACTGACAGTGATGAAGTTCGTCTCTGAAAGCTACAGTGATCAAACGAACATCAGCTTCTGGTTTCAAGACAATGAAAAAATGAGTAAGGGCTGCAGCAAGCCTATACACATTGAATGCGGCAAGATCCAGTCCGCTCATGTGCTGTAGAGGTGACAACAGTGTTTGCGCAGTCCTCGTCCAAGCTGTTTTCAGCTCTGGGTTAGCCGCAGCTTCTGGGGCTAAGGCCCACTTACTCAAATCGAGACCCGAACGCTGCTAGAGCCATACATGGGCACGTCTTCGCGGTCAGCAGCATCAAGCTTTGCAATTCCGACTATTTCCAGCCCGCCTGCGATGGTCAGGCTGCTGTTGAGTTGGCCCTTGTCTGCAAAGGTACACTGCTGGTACTTCCCACCTGCCTGCACAGTCCGGGAGCCAGGGTCAAGCAGCTTTAAGTACGAAAGAACATCAGCTCAGACAAGGCACCGACTTGGGGAAGATCTGGCTCTGATCCAGAGCTGACCAGTCCGTTCCGCCGCTGGCTCCCAAGGCCACAAAGCCGGCCAGGATGTAGTTGGTGCCTCTTGCAGGTGAAGCTTCTACTTCTAAGAGGCTTTGGTTTTAAAGCACCGTCTTTTATCCAGCGCCTCTCGCAAGCACAGTTTAGCTCTGAACTCGTCTGGACAGTTTCTAGACCAGGACTGGGGGGGATGAAAATAATGAACCCAGCTGCTGGTATAGCTCGTGCAAGCGCCCGGGTCGCAAAGAAAGACTGGGCTTTGCTTGGCTGCCCCATGCCTCAGGATGCTGATGTGCAGTCGCAGTACTGCCCGAAAAAGACAGTAAGACGGAGCCTCCGCACGCACACTCACACACACACACACACAGTCTCTCTCATCAAGTACTCGGCCATGTGCCGACGTGCTAAGAAGTCATTTCCACTTGCTTCTGCCAGCAAAGACCGTTTAAGAGTCGTTTAAGGACCAAGACGTCATTTGCGAGTGACGCGTCCGTTCGATTTACGCATGTCGGAGTTCGAGCCTGACACCATCCGTGAGAAGAACATGCCCGATGATGCCTTTGGTCAAGTTTGGGCAACGTGCGTTCTTGCTTCGGTTGTAGTGCGCGAATAGCCTAGAGCGTGCGTATACTAATTTAATGGTCAGACGCGAGAAAGCCAAAGCACGAGTAAGAAAGCAGGAAATTACTTCTTTCCTGTAACGTGTCATCAACAAAATCGGCAGAAGGACACCAAGGGTTTGTAGTGAAAGCAAGAACGTTGTTTCCGCCTGTTCGAGATTGTTCGGGTCGGGCCTTGATTCGGTGGCCGAGGCAAGGAACACTGGAGAGATCTATGATCTTTGCGTGGACGCAATGTACGGCATGACTTGCACTGCATGCACAATGCCACATAAACCTCCGGCTCGAGTTTACCAGCTAAGGCGAGAGACGGCAGGACAATATGTCAGGCTCTGGCGTATGAGTATGTCGGAAGATAAAAACACATCTTTGTGCGCATGTGCAACAACCCCAGCTTCGTCAGTGAAACGGTCACAACTCTAACGAAGTATGGCAAATACGTCTGCTGCCCTTCATAAAGGAGGGCTTCCGCCAACCATCTAGGTACCAGCAAAGTAGCAGGAACTCCATGGGGCTGTGCAGCGTGTCGCCATGCTGCAGAAGTGCCTCGCCAATGCTTGGGCTTGATCTCTCCGGTTCCGAGTGCTGCGCACGCTCAAGCGAGAGCTTGGCACATTGAAGATTTTGTAGCCAAAAATAATCAAAGATTAATTTTTTGCGCAAGCGGTGGCCTTGTCAAAGTCAGGCACGTCAAAATCGTTCAGGCCACTTTGCATGCCTCGAATGGGCTACGGGATGCAGAGAGCTTGCTAAAGCGACTACGTGTCTGCAAGCATGCCCCCAAGTCATAGTAGCGGCCCGGCGGGGACAGACGCAAGCCCTGCCTCCGAAGAACCATTCCGCTGCACTGTGAGCAAACCTATCAATCCTGAGCCTGAACCCACAGACCACTTGACGAGGTTCGCAGGAGATGCCCGACAGTGACTTGTGATGCTTGCTGCCCAAACAGTCCCACCATGGAGGTGCCGTTCCTGGCGAGGTTGGGGAGGCACCGCCGGGGGGGCAGAAGCTGTTCGGATGCAGAACATTCTAGCATGCTCTTCTATACATGGACCAGCTCTGAAGTTGCTGCCGAAGGCTCAAGCGCTGAAGGACACCATCCACGTAAGTGGCTGCAGGCTTGTCCAGCCTCTCTGCACGAGCGACTTTCTGCACACACACACACACACACAAAAACAAAGAAGCACACGAATCGAATCGAATCATGCACTTCATTTGTATTTCAGAAGACGTAACATACGTAACCATAAAGAATAGATATTAAAACATCGTCTTCTACAGATCAGGAAGCACATGGAATACTGTACCGAGGAGCTCGACTTTTCCCTCTGCGACCAGCTTTAGGACCAGAACAGCCTTGACTCGATGCGGGAGAGGGGTGCGGTGGAGTGGGTTCCAACGCCTGGCGTGTTGAATGTCGGCTTTGCTGACGGAGAGAGACGGAAATATCAAAGGCTCCAAGCCCAACTCCTCTGGTTTGGTGATTGATTTGCGCACCAAACGGCCGTGTAAGGCTTGGTGCCAGAGCCGAATGCAAAGGTGTCATTCTCCGTTACTGCCTCAGCAGGAACAAAGCACCTTGCAAGCTCTCAGATGCGAAATGGTTAGAGCGGCATCGCGTTCGAGCCAGGGTGGCTAATCACCTCATTAGAGGTGGACCGAAGCTAAGCAGAAGCTCAAAACAAAAGTGGCAACATAGGCTCCAAGCTCTGCCAGTAACTGGATCACGTCCAGCAGAGACGGTAAAATCCTGAAAAGGCCACGACGACAGGTCCAAAGAAACAACTCCGGACATACTTCATGACCCCACTGCAGCTCTTTGGAGGAGTAGGGCCTAGTAGGGGCCCTCTTGCTCGGCTACAAGTACAACATGAACAATCCTTAACTTTTCGCATCTCCAGGACAGAAGCTGAACTAACATGTCATAGCCGACAGCTCCGAGTGTGTCTACCGCACATGTCCTCCACGTAAATGCGCGAAAAGTCCCTAAACCCTCATCTAGACAGGTCTGAGTCCTCCGTGGCCGATTTCCAAGCCAACTGCGTTGCAAAGCCATACTTCTTGGAAAGTCCTGCTGCTGTCGGCCATGGTTACGGTTATTTTGAGCGGAAACGATGACAGGCGTCAGCAAATCATTCAAACAGAAACCTGTAGTCATGCATATCGCTGTATACGATGACTGGATTCTGACAGGCAGCACGTCCAACAAAAAGATGAAGTAAACGGCCGATTGTAGTGGCACAGACAGACGGAAGGAAAATGGTGGAGCAGAATTTCAATTCCTGAGCTGGAAGGGTTACCATTCAAGAAACCCGTAACCCAATACCATTTCCGGATTGGCCCCGGATACTAGGAGAATCCTGTCAGCACGCTCTGGAAAGCATCTTCCAGCTTGCTGGCTGCCGCTGCATGAAGCAGACCTATGTTCTCACACGGGCTCATACAGCTCAAACGGTCTTCATACACCAATACACAAAAACATGCACCACGCTTACCGTGATATTCCACGTGGCCTCAATCCGCTACTCGAATGTTCCGATACCAGCGACTCAGGTCATCTCAGGCCTGCTGCATTCCAGCAACATATCAAGCTCTCCTCCCACCGGAAACCCAGAAATTTGTAAGAACTGAACTGTTTGCTTTGCTTTGTTCTCTCTCTTTGCTTTGCTCGGGGTTTGAGGCGGGAGCAGTCCTCCTCTGTCTTTCTCTCTCTCTGTCGCTTGCTTGCTTGCCTGCTTGCTTGCTTGCAAGGAGTCTGGGCTCCCTAAGGCTCCCTGGCCCGGAGGCCTACCCCCTCGGCGCACTCCAGCTCGACTGTTCGGACACACACCACTCTCTTGCTTGCACTCGGACAAGAGGGAGCGAACCCCCCGCGCACCAATCTCTCTCTCTCTCTCTCTCTCTCTGCCCATGTCGCAAGCATGTCCGTGGGTGTCCGAAACATTTAAAAATACACTGACTGAAAAAGCAAGCAGGTACGTGTCATACATCTGTATCTGCGAAGACGAGAGGAAAGAGTCGCAGCAAGGTAGGGAGAGATGGCGAGAGAGCAGCTGTCTGTATGCCGACACTACTGACATGTCGGCATGCGCGGTAGTGCTAGTCCACGCGTGCAAGGCTCAAACGCACGAAAAGGCACAGTAGTTACATGGCATCGCAAAGCCCGGGGCCCAGGGTCCAAAAGATTCCCAAATCAAAAACGCATTCTGTAGGAAAAACGCACGGCTCTGGGGCGATGGCCAAATAGCACAGCGGCGAATGGTGGCCTCATCACCTGGAGCCCGGCTTGCAGGAGCTGCGGGACTTGAAATACCCTGAGGTAATACAATATACTATGCAAATGATTTGGAGTCATGTATAGTATACAGATGCTGGGAAGTCTGCCTGAACTTCTTCTGCTGCTTTGCACTCACTGGATTTGGGGTCCTGAATGAGAACTACCTACGGCTTTGACCGTCAGCTGCATCATGCGAAAAGGCTACTTCGAAGGTCATGGAGCTATATGCAGATGGATCTCATTAGTTTGTGTTCTTCCTTGTGGCATGTCCCAGGGTTTTCGTACCTATTGACCTATTGGTTTCAACTTTCTGGGCTGCCGACGCTGAGCTCCCGCGGAACAGTGGGAGTCGCAGTACACTGAGCATGCCCCCGAGCCCAAAGGTTGTCCGCAGAAACAGCAAGAAGCTCCGAAAAACCTGGAAGTGCCATCCATCAGATCGAGCCCCTGGTTTGGGTAGCGATTCTTGACTGCCGGGTCCATTTTGGATTTTCGGCCTTGGCTGTGCAAGCATCGGCTGTCAGACGTGCCACAAATTGAAATGAGGCCTTTCTCCCAAGCTAGCTCGACTCCAGCGGAAGGTATTTACGCTCATACGAAGCCAAAATACCTAGCAATGGAACTGACAAGACTTATTGACGTAAGTCTGCACAAGTTATGCCCATTGTGTCAGGCATCCCGGGCTCAAAGACCACACAAAGGTGACAACAACTATATTACTATATGACCCCCCCGCAACGACAGCAACAACAACGACAACGACAACGACAACGACGACAAACAACGACAACGTTGACAATCATGATCACCTTCATCACAACAAGCAAGGTAGTACTGGGAACGAGACCAAGAGTCATCGACGGTGAGAAGTGTGCTCTGAACAAGTTTCGAAAATAATGCTGGTGCCAGCTGCAGAAATAGAAGTAGAACACAAACGGGCAGCAGTACAACGCACATAACAAGTGTAGTCGCGATCTACAACTGCCGGCGGTCACGACCACAAACAGATAACTACTGCTGGAGCGGCAGCTGCCATTCTGAAGCCAGTCAACATGATCGTCAAAAGCGTGTCAAAGTCTGTATTCTGCTGGTCGTTCTACTTGTCAGCCGGAGTGAGCTGCTACTGCTGCGGCTGCTCATGCTGCTGAACGCTCATCGAGATCCATCATCCAAAACGAAATCATCGCCAAGTCAGAATCTGGGGATTGGAGTTGGTCGCCTTGCGAGGCAACCCCCGGTATCTGAACCTGCAAGTCGACGCGATATCCCAAAAGAGCCCATGCGAGTAGAGCCCCTGAGGCACAAAAACGAAGCGCTGGAGCCATGGAGCTGTGAATCTCCACAAAATTAGTGGGAGCTTCGGAGGCGATGGTGGCACAGGTTATGCTTGCAGGCCGAAGCTGGTGCCGGCCCTGTGATTCGAGGATGTCTGGGTGCATTCGCCTACGACTTCCGGGCCCTGCAAAGTCCACCTTAATCACGGCCGGGACCTGTCTTGGCCGTCCAGGGGGCCCTAGAAGTCGCACACGCATGTGCCCAAAGAGCGGCTGGAACTAGAGCACATTTGCAGGTGGCTAAAAAACAGAACTGAGCTGCCGAGCCCACGGGCATAGCGCTGGGAAGCAGGAGCGAAGCAGGGGCTAAGTCTAAGTCTTAAGTCTCCAGTACACCGGCAGCGAAAGAACCATCATGGACTAATGATGATCTTTGTGTGAGCGGTACGTGCAGTACTACCAGCGGTAATTCAGTAAGACTATGGAGACTAGGTTCAGAGCGGCGGCTCCAAGGATAGCAACGACTGTTGATGCCAGCGGCTACAGCAGTAAACATGCGAAGTATATTGCGGATGGAAGTAACCTCTCAACGTAACACCCCCTGGGTACTGGCAGATGCCTTGGACGGGTCCTAGGCGTTTTTTGTAGTCGCTCCCCCATCCTCACCGCTTTCCCCGCGTTTTGGCTACGAAACGCCGTGCCGCCAGCACACTGTCGTCTTGATTGAAGCTCTGATAACTTTCGACAATAGGTGCATATAAAGCCTGACAAGAAGGGCGACGGTGTCAAGGCTGCTTCTTAGCTGCTTCCAACTCGTAGGACAGCATGGTTTGCGACTGCTGTCCATGGCATCTCTCCGTAATCTAAGCTCGTTGGAGTCTACGCAAGACCTCTTGAAGGCCCAGATGACATTCAGCAAAAGCAGGCACTGACCAACCAACAACAGGAACCTCAAGCCACAAAACGTAACTGTCCCGATTACCGGTACACGTCATGATCAACAGGCTTATCGGCTTTCACGGCACTTGTCCTTCACTTTGGTTTCAAGCCTCCTGGAGAGAGAAGCCGCTTCAAGGCAAGCATCGCAATCCCGGGTCTAAGCGGAAAAAACAAAGCACTGCCCTAGAATTGCCGGGCCGGAGCCGGGATTGCGCTTGCAATCTTTGGGTGAATCTGCGAAATCAGCAAAAAACTCAGGAAGTTGATGTCTGCGAGTCGAGTCCTTGTAACTTCACCGAACCTGATCAGGCGATCTCATGTCGGGCACAAGCTACAAAGAGCCACTCGTGAATCGAAGCTGGAGGAAGATCCATGCCCTTTCTTGCGTGAGGGTTTGTGCATTGTGCTTGGGGCTAGCCAGATCCTTGCATCGCGGCCTTTCGTGTTCACCTATCGTGCCCTAAAGCCTGCAGCAGCTCTAGGCTAGCAGCTGACTTAGATCTGCAGCATCGCGAAGTCTCGGGCGCAGACTGCCTAGTGCATCGGCCATTTGCTTCCAAACCTCAGCTATAAACAAGGACTACAGCTACTACAGTTCAACAGCAAGCAGAGTTTGACTAGGGAATTTCCCAGCAGCTCAACAATACGTGCAATAAGCATCATATCGTGGTAATGATGCACATACCAACACCGGCCAGAGATATCAGCAAAGTATAGCAAAGTCAGGAACAGAGACTAGGTCATGGTTCGACTGGGCCTCAACGGAGATGCGGTTTCTGGAGAAGTCTGCCGTGCGCAAGTGCAGCTGCTGTAGAGCCTGCCGGAAGACGCAGGCTTTTGCCCAGCTTCTCCAGATTTCTCATAATACTGCTACTACCAGGGGAAAATCATCCCCACCTTTGCCAACTCCATGGCAACGTCTCCAAACATGCCGTTGTGGGTCAGGACGAGATGCTCCAGACGGCCAAGCCCTCTGAGCATCGATGTGAAGGTTAAACACCTCCCGCCGCCTGCATCCTCCACCTGGCATGATACCGTTTGGAGCTTTGCGTTCCATACACAAGATTACTGGCTATACAAGCTGTCCAGCCATTGTACATAAAAGACGTGCTTGTCTTACGCTTCGCTGATACTGTCGCATACTGTGGCATGTCGTCTTCGGGTTCAGGAGTTCTCAGGACCCGATGCTGTAGAATTGCCTAGATTCGCACGGCAAGGTTCTGCCAGCTCGGCCTTCTCCGAAACATCTTTCTGGCGGAGTGGCAGGAAGCCTGGCCAACAATAGCTAAAGCCGAAGAGAATGTGAACAAAGCGGAATCTGATGGAAACAATAGCAGTCGTCATCACAACGGCATGAGGAACACCATACAACTTCAGGAAAACAGGCACGACGGGCTAAGCTGCAGCCGCCGCAGCGGCAGGGACTCGAGACCCTCCATGAGAGCACTGCGAGCTTCGGAGGACGGCCTGCAAGGACTGGGCCAATTTAGGGTGCGAGAATAGTCTTAGAGTCTTAGAGTCTTATTAGTTCATGTGCTCAGCGCTGTAAGCTAGGAAACCCCACTGGCTGTTTGTAGACAATACGCAACCTGCCTTCCCTGCATCCCATGCCACGACCACAACTGCGCTCCTGAGTGGCTCCGCATTGTTGGCGAAGGATGCCAAACGCAGGGAGAGCTCCTCCAACAGGTTTGGGGTACATGACTCTATGTGAATGTAGCTGCATATAAGTAGCTCGCTCTCTCTCTCTCTCTCTCTCTCTCTCTCTCTCTCTCTCTCTCTCTCTCTATATATATATATATATATTCAAAAGCCAAACAAACTAAGCAACACCAGACTGCAGGCGCAACATCATTCACAACTAGGAAATTCAACATCCATGCAACATCCCCCGTGAACGCCTAGCACGTGCAAACAGGTTTGCTATGTTTGAGCTTGAAGCCCCTAGGCCTTGGTACGCTTTGCTGCCAGCTCTGAAGTTCTCTACTTCATTCTACTTTCGTTCCCCCCCGAACGGCCATTGACTCTTGCCAGCCCGCAAAGTGCGAAAGCTCAAGAAGCCACACCACCAGCACTACAACCACCACCACCACCACCACTACCACGACATCATCAGCACACCCACCGAGGCTTTTGTGTTCGTGATTTGTACTTCGTGCTCATAAAGAGAGATCTCTCTGTGTTCTGTTGTTCTCGTATCTGTACCGTGTGTGCTCAAGCTGTGGTTCGGGATCGTGATTTGCAATCAGCGCTCGACAGATATATGCTGTTGCGTTTGGTCTGCTTCTGGCTGGAATATATTCCTATGTATATTATTTATGTATATACACATGTAATATGGTCGTCTTCCCCCAGCAGCCCCGCTATTATTGCATTCAAATGCTACCTCCAAGCCCGCAAAGCCCACACCCAAGTTTACGTGTACACGGGAAGTTCTACCATCTGCCTGGGTACACGGTTCGTGTCATCAATCAGAGTCTCGCAAACAAAAACGAAAAATCCAGACACCTAAGCACGCACATTCACGCTGTAGCAGCATCGCATGGCCTACATGTCTATGTGCATGTGCATTGAGGGAAATTTCTCCAACACCCGCTTACAAGAGAATCGAAGGATCTGAAAGCTATGGCTCTCATGGTTAACTAACAAGATAGAGACAATACATGGTACGAGGGTGGTTGGCAGATTACGGCGAAATACCCGATTCAACTCATCATGACAACACATTCTAGCCAGTCCAACACGAAGTTGATTGCTAACCACTGTAACACTTTACTGGATTCTGGATTTAAAGAACTGTTGCCGAAAAAAGTATGCCACAATGATTATTGGGAACAGATTTGTGGCTCTGATTTGGGACGTCGAATGGCCCACATTGCAGGCTACAAGTCTTCCAAGCTTTGGTGCAGTCACGGCGGCAAGGGAAAGGCTACGCTGCTAGCTGCCCCAGTGATACTACAAAAAAACATGCGGGACCACATGCCCACAGTCAACAAAGGAAGGTCCGGACCTATTGCAGCAATACGACTTAGGTAAATAATGATCCAGTACATAATTCGGCATGAGCGGAATTGTTGGAAATGTTGGCCACCTTCTTTTTGAGGAAGACGTGCCAACAATAAAGACAAAAAACGACGAAAGCCAAAAATGAAATGAGGTAAATCACGACATGTTATGCGCATTTGATTGCATCAAGCCTGCTACTGGCTTTGCTGCCGTCCCAAAGAAGGCTCAAAGCAACGCCTTAATCTAGCCGTGCCAAGCAGCAGATAGGACTTCTCAGGATGGTTTGACCAAAAGCTCTACGAGCCCTGCCTACACACTGGACGAAACAACACAGAAAGTCCAGTTAGCTTAAACTGCGTAAACGCTGACCAAAGATCAGCTATATGTATGATTGAATTCTACCTACATGCGCATCACATACTGGCCAGTTGACTTTAACTCTGTATGGACACTGGTCAAATATCAGCTGCATAGTACTCTAGCTAAACTAGGCACGACGTATGGTTGGGCAAACATATCTTTGTAATTGAACGTTGTTTTATCAAGATGTCATTATCAGCCAGGTTCTGAGTGTGTGAGAATGCAACATCTGATTGTTATGTCACCATCAACTGTTGAATGCGCATCAACCAGTTTAAACATGCTCCTTTCCTTAGACGTTCTTATACCAATACTACTCATTACTGTAAGCTGTATGAACGACAAGATAATGGAACGACAGGACTGAGAGGTTCGCGGAACCGGGCCCCCAAACATAGCAGTTGGGTTTGCTTTTCAAAGTTCGATGTGCACTCAAGAAGACCTGCTCGTAGCTAGTCTCCAGAATATGCACGAAACCACCTGCACCGCTACATATAGCAACATTGCAGCTACGTATAAAATCAACAAACGCGCTGCCCACCACGCACCATGGCTATAGGTTCGAAAGGCGGACACAGATCCTGCAAAGGCAAGGCCCCATTGCATTTGGCGGCTTTGAGAGTACGGCCCAAGCAGCTCAGAAGCCTGTCCGCGAGCCTCCGTGGCAGCAAGAAAGGGAGGTGCTGATACAACCAGCAGGCACGTGCTGTAATGTCTGGACCTCTGCGGCAAATGGCCGCTCTCCTCCAGGACATCGAGGCGCCTGCACTTGTTTACCAACTTAGTGCAGGAGGGCTCTAGGAACGGATAGATCGATAATTTTGAAACAGATCCCAATGGCTGTCTTGCCTTAAACTTGTCATGAGCTCCAGGATAGCTGTAGATTCGCAGCTAACTGGAACGGAGAGTTTAATCCTAGAAATACCGTCCACACTAAGCACAACCGTTAGTTACCGTTAGTTAAGACAAACCACAGAAGTGTACCCAATGTGCCAGCTATGACATAGCTATGAGTACATACATACACATGCATGCTTACCATACGATACATACTTGCATACTTACCTGGTTAAAAGTTGCGCTCCCGCAGCTCGGCACAGCCAGATGCGGTATATATACACAAAACTACATAGTTAATTACAGACACACATACATACAGACATTCATACATACATACCCGAATGCCTACAGACCTCTACACACGTACGTGCGTGCATGCACACATACAGACATAACAAACAAACACACATAATAAATATCTTTTAGCCCTCGCACTCGACGCATCAAGCGAGGTTTCTGTGTGAACCTATTCGCGTGGGTTTCAAGCTCCCAGCATTTATAATAAATATATACATACATACATGCATATACAAGCTTCTGTATATGTGAAAGAATAAGTATAGGTATGTATATGCTGTAACCATAAGCCTGGTATAGCCTGGTAGCCGCACAGCAGTTGGCGAGATCTGTCACAGCCAAGGGGCAGCGAGCGAAGCCGGTCGAGGCTCAACTGCCTCCAGGCACACCATATGCAACCATCCCAGCATGTACTGATGTACTGTCGGAGATGTCATGAAATGTCGGACTGATGCATCTTTTTGACAGCCGTCCTGAAGTGCATGACCTCGCATCAACGCCTGCGCGGCATGCCAGACCTGGCAACAAAGCCTCACGTCGATGCCTTCACGGCGCGCGAAATATACAAACACGTGCCCTGCTGGCCGATGAAGCTTCATTTCTGCGTAGATGGCAGGTGCCGTGCTGTAGACCATGCACCAACGTGATTGTCTGTCCACCCTTATCGTTCAGAAGCATGCCCAACGACAAGCTCATGCATAAGGCCGGACATGGCAATACAGTGGATATGGGGGGTCTGGCCTCAAGCCCTCGGACTGCAAAGGAAGATCCCCCGACCGCGGCTAGAAACATGAAACACTGAGCCCACCCACCCTTGCAGAAACAGCTGCTCAAGTTGGTCAGTGGATTCTGCTTTCCGCAGAGCACTAAGTAGAGTAAAACCTGCAAACTGAAGTCGCAACACTCCGAACTGCAGGTCACAACGCGATCGTTGGATTCGCGAATTAGCCAGCCGCAGCATACATGAAAAGGGCAATGATTGCGGCAGCTGCAAAAGCACGAGAAGGTCGGACATATCAGCCGGTGTTCTGATCGTGGCGTCTGGCTAGGACAGCCGAGAATGGGCGCCAGCATCAGCCTGGTTGCTTTCAAGGCAGGTGTCTTCCTCGTCGACGTTGTTTACTTCGGCAACCATTTGCTGTGTCTTACGTCCTCCGGGCAGGGAAGCGAAAGATCCGCAGGAGTAATCCGGCGCCTGGCCAACACATCTGTGAGCTTGCTGCGTCAGCCCAGCTCCGTGTTCAGGAGGACGATCGAGGCGTTCACGTCACAGTAATCATAGACACAGGGCGCCTGCACCACTTGTCTTCCCTCGCTCTCCTGCATGTCTTTCTGGCTGTGAAGGAAGTTCGTCAAGTTGTCGCAGACTTCTTCGGAGGATGGTGGCTTCCGCCTAGCTTTGTTGAAATCCAAACACCCAGCTAGGGCATGCGGTGTGGTGACTGCACTGCGTCCATCCTCCGGGTGTATGGTCACTTTTTCAATCAGGATTCGGGCAATGTCTGATGTCAGGTAAGCTGACTCCCATGCACCTGGGAAGAATCCAATGGGGATGTCCGTGCCGTCAAGGGTGTTGATATGTGATCGCTCGACCTCTGGAAGTGCTTCAGCGTGTTGTAGAAGCACTTTTGCTCGCGACCAAACATACCATCACCCGGAAGAGCAGCCAACGCAGTGCTCCGATGATGCGCAGATACTTCGGCAAGGGGGCAAGGCCAAACGGCAAAGCGAAATGCTTGAGCAGTAGTAGAAGTGGTGCTGGCTTCAGAATGCAGCGGCGTAGCATCCTTGAGAAAGCGAAAGGTCACCAGCCGTGTGTCTGCATCTTGCCTGCAGTCACCAGTGCCGAGCGCAAGAAGGGCCGGCGTCGCAGCACCTGTCCGGTGTGCAACATTCGTCAACTCTCTGCATGCGATCCTTTTACAACTCGCTTCTTCGGTCCGAGTGTTTGCGTAATCTTCTCGGAGCTTCGTCATGGCATCTGTCATCAGGTCGGTTGAACTTGCAGCCGCGGTTGGAGGTTGACACATGAATTAGATGATCGGTCCGGTGGCTGATCCATTCCAAATGCAACGTTGCCATTAAGAGACTCAGAAGCATCTGCCACCACCGAAAGCTACACCGAGAATCATGCACTCTGCCCTCGCAGCAGGGAATGAGTCCTGTTTGTGCATCCCTGCGTGGCTTCGCAACAGCTGATACTATTTATCAGTGGGTGCTGAGCTCGGCAGCTTGTATATTGCCAAGGCTTTTCCCGATGTTTTCAAACTGTGCTGCGACGTCCGCTCGAACTCGAGATGTACACGCACGAATATGGATTGAGCCTGATTCGACATGGGATATAGGTTCTGTACGCAGTCAATCGGTCAATCATGGCCGCCCCACATGTGAATCGCGATTCACCTCATGCCGCCGAGGCACAGAAGCTTGCTGTGGAAACACGAAGTTGATGACTCCTGCGTCATCGCGCATGTCAACACTGCCGCTCGTCCGGCCACAGAAGAACAAGTTACATATTTCAGAATGATCAAACATCCTGGTCCAGTAAGTTGTGATGCCTCGTGTCATTGTGTTGGCGTCTTGCCTTGGATCCCTCAGCTGCTTCAGCATCTCTCGGCAGGTGACCGCCATTCGCGCGACTGGCTGCGGGCCTGGACGAAGCAGATTGTGAAGGCTACGCACTTGTTCCAGCTTCTTTCCGGGAATACCAGATCGCGCCGCCCAGCGATGAGACACTTGTAAAACACATCACCTACACCTTGCTGAGGGGATTCAGGGGGACTGGTATAGTGAAGAACTGCATGGGAACAAAACGGGTCCAGGCAGCTTCTCCGACAAAGATATCTGCACAGTGGTATACATGCTACGAAAGTAAAGGCCAGGCGACGGTACGGATGTTTTAGGAACTTGAACATAAATTCAAGACATTACACGATGCCGTTCATTCAGTATGCATTCAGAACAATACTTGAGAAGACTGGACAAACAAGCTTATACGCGCCCTGCTGCAGCGGCCGCGGGCGCTGCCGGAAAGCAGGTCCAAAGATGGTGGAAATATCTCACTTCGCAATCATTATACAAGTTATACACCTTTCATGTAACTCCGCTTGGCTTCTGCACTCTGCCTCACTAGCAGGGCAAAGCAGGGCCAGGGCGGGGCTGCCTTGAGGCCCCGAGGCAGCAACGAGCTTATCCTTTTGCTTGGCTTCTCTCGGCTACACTGCACTTAGAAAACTGACTTTGCGAGGGCATTTTTTTGCCTCCCGCCTGGCTAGGATGCCCCTACGTTAAAAAGGTCCTCGCATTGGAAAAGGCAACCTGGATCGAAAAGCAGAGACCCGCCCCTCAATATGACGCCTGGCGACATTGCTGCAGAAAGACTCTGATAAGTCGAAAGATCCGGGACCGCCCTCCATGTCACGTAGCCTACACAGATTGAAACTTCATCAAGGGATACGTGGCGTATTGCCTTCATTTGCCTGCCACCGAATAGCCTACTAAGCCTACTTACTGGCAGTCGTTCTCCATTTGGCATAGTTGCCCCATCGATTGGCCAGCCACTGTAGCGTCACTCAATGCCAGATATGCATGGCAGAACAGCGAATTCTAGATCGTACTCTAGAGGATACTTTGAAGCGCTGCTTTCTCTTCTCGTTTGATACTTAAGTAACTAGGGAAACTATACTAATACTAATAACTCCTATTGGGGGACTTATAACCCTACTTATAACATCGCAACGCAGAGTCGCCGATTCGTGACGTCAGAGCCACCTCCCAGGAGCTCCAAGACAATCACCGCTTGCACGTCCTGCGCAGAACCACACACAGATGGGATGGGATGGGATACCGATGTTCCATAGAGCTACGCCGAGCTACACAAGTCACAAAACCTGGCATGCGTCAATTGTATAAGTGCATTCCATATACGATCCGGCCATTCTTGTTGGATGCCAACACGCATGACAATTACATGTGTATGAAACGATCCGGTCTTGCTGCTGCGAAATCCCATCACTGGTCGCAAGAATTGCTTGTGCTCATCGTCAACTTCCCAGAAGGTCCATCCCCTGCTATGCCACAGCTTTGCGGACTTCCTTTGGTTCGGTTCTGGGACATGGGCATTATAGGCTATAAACACCAGCTTGAGCAAGCAGGATATCTGTTGGTTGCGCTTGTTTTTGTCTGACTGGATTGCTTCCATCGATTCCATCTGCCTCGCACGGGGCTTTGGCCTATATGGGCCTATAATAGAAGGAGTTGATGATTTATTACACTGTTGTCTGAGCTGCTGCGCAGCATTGCGTGGGCAAGGCGGCCTTCAGAAGAATCCAGGCCAACATGCTTCGACATGCTCGCAGATTCTCTCCGAGTATAGTGTCAGGACCTGGTTTGACTCGAGAACTATAGCTACGCCCACCCCAGCCAGAAAACCGAAATTCGGACTTTGCGTCCGAGGCAGCTCCTGCGTGACCGCCCCAAGGAAGCTCTTCCTCAGCGGGCCTCAACCCACAAACCCGGTTCTACTTCGAGAAGTTGAAGTTCTTTAAGCTATGAGTATTCTGAACACTTCCCGGAATCTTTACAGGTTGCATGCTGCTGCACTGCTCGCGACGCACTCAACCAGTGTCAGTATGTGTCAATACTGACGGCCAAGGCCCCCTCTATTCAATACAGAAATCTGCTCCGTTGCTACAGAAAGCATGTACCACAAACAGCACAGCACCTCTGACGCGAACCGCAGCCGGTGCTTGTCTTGGGCAAGAAAAGGTCCTTGAGAAGCCCGAGCGCCAACGCCACTCTGCCAAGCCTCGGACTCTTTGTCGGCACTGACGCACCAGCCGGTTCCGACGGGCACGTGGAGCGTTTGCCCACATGCGGTGGGCCTGCAGCATCCAGTCTTCGGCAGAGCAGTGGTAAGTTTCTGTTCTCCGTACGACCGGTTTCCACAGTAAATTCTCGCGGACGGAAGCTTTCGCTGACCTCGTCTGTTACTATAATCCTTGCGCGACATCCGCAGGTGTGAGATCCCCTCCGCGTGCGAGTGGTAAGGCTACAGGCTATCTCATTCTGGCTGACAGGGTTTCTCTCCGCATGAAGTCAATGGCCTATTTAAGCAATACGAGTAGTTAATCATGCCATGAGCGAGCCTGGGGTGCCTGCCTTCTCTAAGTGACTCCCCACACCCTCACACAAGGCCCAGAAGGCTTCGCTTGAAGGAAACTCTGTCCGCGCCTGCGAGTAGCCCACTGTTCAAGACTCCCGTCCCCATGGCCAAATCCTAAGGTTAGAAAGAGGAGCCATCTATGGGCGGCGAGGCTTGAGCCATTGTGGCAACAGCGCCAAGCAGGCTTCTCTTGAAAAACCATCCGCCGAGCATTTTTTGCAAGGCACAGACATGACTGGTGACGGCACCACACGTCGACTCTTTGTGCGTTTGTCCTGCGCAACACGAAGCTTCGCATGCTTCGGCTCGGGCATACCGACGCATAAAAGAGCATATTGCCCAGAGTCGTGAAACCCACAACCGATCTCGAAGAGCATGAATGTGAGATTTATTTGATTGGAGCGGAGATTCCTGTATCCGGCTACTTGCCGAAACCCTTTCGAGTTATTCTCGTATAGCATGGTGCACGAAAGGCGAAACAAGCCCCAGTTCTCTGTCATGCCTGCTTGCCCGCGAGCTGTTTGCAACCAACTGATTGCTGCTTCAGGAAGCGTTGGTAGAAGTTGGCTCTTGGGGTCGCAATATGACTATGCTATCAGCGGGCGAGGCATTCAATCAGAGTCTTGTAGGTCACCACCTCGCGTCCCTGGCAGGGAGATGCACCTATCCTTTATCACAGCTTGTTTTGCTGCATTCTGATGTCAGTGTGGACAGCTGCCTGGTGTAAATTGGGCTGAGACGACCGACACCTATGCCGACAATACACTCACGCGTCGGGCTGGTGGCGTACTGCGAGCGGACCGAAGCTGCGCCCACAGAAAGGTCTCTGTCGCAAGGGTGCTGGACTTCTGTACAGATCGCCAACCATCGGTCCCAGGCTCTGTAACTAGCTGCAGAGAGACAATCTGCAACGGGCAGCTGTAGAGACATACTGAGGGCTTGAATTTCAAATTCTTAGCGTTTCCAAATTTCATGTCTGGAGCAATCTAAAACAAGCACCTCAGACTCGGTTCACAGTCACAAGCAAGCGAGCTGATTCTTCTGAATATGAACCACTATCTCCACTTAACTCTTCCGAGACCATCTGCAGCTGCACCTCGGGATGCTGGATCAATCCTTTGAGGGCGCACCTGGAGTGCGGCTTGCTACCGTAACAGAGTGACTTAGGGCATCGCGGCCATGACGATAAAAATTAAATAACCCATTGCCACACCCAAAGACACAGTCTCTGGCGGCCCGGCACAGCGCACTCTCGGATGTCGTCGTTGTGGTGCCGCGTGCCCTAGAGAATTGCAGCTTGCAGCAGGTCTGAAAATTCGTGTTCAAGTGCATGGCCGGCGAATCTAGGATGGAAAGGTTGAGCAGCGGTGCTGTCCAAGTCTTGCCCAGAAATATGGAAGAGATCCGAAATGATCTGAATCAGATTTGTTGTTGTTGCTTGCTGAAGGAGGGGAGGGAGAGGCAAAAAGATGTTGGAGCAGGCGGGAGGAGGGGCGGGCAGGGACATTTCGGACCAAGACCGTCGCGCTTCCGACAGCTCGGGGCTCACCCTGTTTTAAGGGTGTCTGATAAGATTTGGGGGTTACCGATGCTTAGGGGTTAGGTTGTCATAGATGGGCTTGTTAAAGGTTTTTATGAGTTCTTACAGGATCAAATAGGGTTGCTACAGGTTTTATGAGCAGGGCATCCTTAACATGACCCGCAAGAGTGCTTACAGGGCTTCATAATTCGGTTTTGAGGTTGAAGGACCCGGTTTTTTGGCTGATCTTGAAGGGGAACAAAAACAAGCAAGCAAGCAAGCAAGAACCTGAAGAAAAAGCTGCAAGAAAATCAGTAAAGATAAGTTGAAATCATAACGGAAACATCGACACAGAAAGACAACTACGAAACAAGTTTGGATGGAGGAGGTTGGAGCAGGGGGGAGGAAGGGCAGGGAGGGGAGGAGGGAGGGAGGGGAGCGGGATAGAGAAAGAGAAAGAAAGAAAGAAAACAAGCAAGAAGCAAGCAAGCACGCGAGAGCATGAGTGAAAACAGGAAATGATCAGAGAAAGAACTAACAAATAACGAAACACACCAAAGCATATCTTACACAAGCCCCATAAACATTATATCTTCAATACACCGCCTCATTTGGCCCTCATTTGTTGAATCCTATTCTTCGTTTCGTTTATGTTAACACGCCCCTTGTTTGGCGACTCCGGTTCATCATACAGCTTAAACGCGCCGACCTATGCGGCGAATCCAGCTCATCACATATCTCAAACACGCCCCCTCATTTGGCGATTCTGGGCCTTCTGATGCCGCGATTCCGGCTCATCATGTATCTGAAACACGCCTCCTCATGTGGCGATTCCGGTTCATCACATCATATATGTTAAGCACGCCTCCCAATGCGGCGATAACGGCTCATCACTCACATATCTCAAGCACGTCACCCAATCTGGCGATTCCGGTTCGTCACGTGTCT